ACTAGTTTCCTAGGGATAACCTGCCATCATTTAAAATCATTTGTAGTATGTGCACAGCAGAAACCGTGGCTATTACAAGGTCATGAGCAGCTGTGTCTGGAAACCTAAAGAAAGCTCCTTTAACAGACACCAGGCATCTCTCAGGAGAATCCTGAACTACGTGCCTTGAATTTCTCCCTGCCGCACCAGGAAAGCTGCTGAACACAACGGTTTGGGCCAGGTGTAGGATTGCTGAGCTGTGATATGTTTTCTGAGGGAACTGGAAGTCAGCCAAATGAGAGGGAGGCATGAATTATTCCTATCAAATGCAGGATTTCAAAAGAACACAGGTTTAGCTCTGCCCTGCAGTGGAATACTTGGCATTTCTAGTTAGACTTTGGAGCAGATTGATCTCAAGCACTTTGTCTTCAAGGATGATTCCTAGATCAAACCGTAACACCTGCTTGTAGTGCGGGGGTTAGAGGCGGCTTTCCCAGAGCGATCAGTCCTCCTGACGATGAGCCTACTGACAGGTTGGTCCCATACTGTCAACATATCAACTCCAAAGCTTGCTCACTTCCTGGCATGAAAAGCTGCTCAGTTTCTCTGAAATTCTAAAAGCACACTCACCAAAGATAACCTGGCTGCTCTGCAGAGCCTGAGGTTTGGGATCTTTTTCTTTGGGATGTTCCTGGGTACACAAGTGGTGGTAAATTAGCACTTAAGTTTCAATGCATGAATGGCCCATCAGCCAAACCATGACAACAGTTTTCTTCCCCAAACTCCCCAAGCACTGACATGGCAGAGGAAAACAGGGAGTTGAAAGATACTCTGCTCATCTTTGAGATGGCTCCTTACTTAGACAACCATGAGATGCTCTGATGCTCTGTATGCACAGAGACTGAAGTACACAGCCATCACCAGTAGAAACCACAAACCCCCAGCCTTCCCTTCAAACTGCACTTTGTGCAAAAAGACATTACACAGAGTCACAGGGAAGACAAAGGTCCGTTCAGCCCAGACTCAGAGCCTTAGCTTGAGGATGCTTTTTGAAACCACTGTGTTTATAGGCCCTTTGGAGACCTTCTGGGATTCAGCACAGTTCCTTTCCAAATCCATTTGTAGTTTTCAGTCTGTGCACAGCCCGTGCTGTCAGGTCTGGCAGTTTGGTTTTGCGTTCTGAAAAAGAACTTGCCTGTTTTGAAACTTCTCTGACAAGTTTGTTGTACACCTCCTCAAAGCTGTGTTATGAGAGTGAAAAAACCTTCTCTGCTTACCTTCTCTGTATCACTCATTATTAGACACCTCAGCCTCTCTTGTGCCTTTTCAGATAGATACTTGCAGGCTCTTAATGTTCTGCTGAACAAAACAGAACTCTGTGTGCTCACCGGTCCCTGTTACCCTTGGCATCATTTCTCACTATCTCTACACACAAAAAGTGAACAAGCTCTGGAATGTGTTACTTTTTATCTCAAAAGTATGATGCTTTCTACTTAAATAAATGTTGACAAGCAAACATCTCAAGGGGCAGTAAGAACCTGAGTCATCTCACTGCTTTTAAAGTTTCCATTCAATGTCTCTTCATGCCTCATGGAGGCAGTGAAAATTTAACAAGCCCAGCCACAGTGTCACCTGTTGGGATCTGTTCGGTTGGATGGTTCTGCAGTACAACCTTGCCTTCAGTGAGTGGAGCACTGTGTTGTGGCTCTTGAATGCTGCTTCCCAAGGACAGCGTTTTTGTTGTTTGTCTGTGGAACCATGAGCTGCATTCACTGTGTTGCTTGAAACTGTCAGTAACCTGTGCTGTTTTGGGACCTTGCCTCGGGGCTGGTGGATGTCAGGGTGGGAGATGACTCACCTCCGCTTGGAGTCTGAGCTCTGCAGAGGTTGCAGAGTGAGGGTAAATTTATGCACAAGGAAGCAAGCAATGGATTGCTGCAGGAGGCTGTCTGCAGTTAAGGTAAATCCACAGCCCATCGTGGTAGTGCTGATATGTACAATGGAAACTTCTCTGAAAGGCTTGATGAGACCAATGTAACATGACCTAAAATCTGAGCACAAGTGAATGCGAGAGTATGAAAGTTGCATAGACCATGTTATATTTTTACAGCTTGAGCCCAGTATCTCTTTCCTTTACTTCCTGCATTTCTACGACTTCTGTCCTACCCATCATAACCCACCTGACATTCCAGGACGATCATTCAAGCAAGGAAAAAGATTTTAAGAATGTAGCAGTTCAATTACAAGCAAAGGTCAAAGGATCACTGACTCTCACTAACAGTGGCTACCAGGATGCTGGAAGAACATGAAATGTTGTATCAGATTCTGAAAGATGGGCAGGGTACTTGCATGCTTCTAAAATGAGCTTTTGTTGAAGTGCTAATTACACCACTTAGTGTACAAGTGGCAAGCCATGGCAGGGACAGGTCAGCTCTTGCAAAACAAAATCATACCTTACTCTGGTAGGACTTCCAGTCATTGTCAGACACTTGTGTTCCTCACAAGAAGTAACTTGGTGATTATGGGATGACTGTCCACATTTTGTTGTATTAGAAATGTACTTCACTGTTTATTAAGTGTGAAGTAATTCCAGAGCTAGCATTTATAAGATAGAAGCATTTTGTTTAATTTATAATCCATTAACAGGAAGATTCCTGTGTAAACAAACTGTAACGGGAAGAGAGAGAACAAATGATGACTTGGTGTATCAGGATAAGAGAAACAGTGAGAACTGCTGCATGAAGGGCAGGAGGAGGCCACGGGAATGCCACGTGGGTTGAATCAAAGCATAGCGCCCAGAGCAGTGCTCCTGACCTGCTCCATGTGAAAGATACCTCAGAGAAATCTCTTTGATAAACTCAGCCAAATTTGTTTCTAAATGCAAACGAAAGGAGAGGCTTGTGGGGAATGTGAAGATCAAAGGCAGCATTTGCTGCAACGACTTGTCAGGTGGGAGAGGTGGGCTGACAAAAATCTGATGAAGTTCAACAGAAAGTGCAGAGCCCTGCTCCTGGGCAGGAATAGCCCCAGGCACTGATACAGACTGGGGCACCCAGCTGGATAGCAGATCTGCAGAAAAGGTCCTGGGGGTCCTGGTGGGCACAGAGTTGAATATCAGTCAACAGTGTGCCTGTGCTACTCAGAAGACTAATGGTATTCTTGGCTGCATTAGGCAAAGCGTTATCAGTAGGTCAAGAGAAGCAATCCTCCCCCTCTGCTCAACAATGGTGAGGCTGCACTTGGAGTATTGTGTCCACTTGTCCACTATAGTGCGTGTCCAGCTTTAGGCCTCCTAGTACAGAAAGATCCGGACGTGCTGGGAAGGGTCTTAATGTGGGGCTACCGAGGTGATGATAGGACTGGAACATCCTATGAGGAAGGCTGAGAGATGTGGGACCATTCAGACTGGAGAACAAGAGTGTCAAGGGAGTAACCCCACCAATACCAAAAATACTTGAAGGAAGAGGTGCAGTGAGTGTGGGCCAGGCTCTTTTCCGTGGAGGCTGGGACAAAAGGCCATGGGTACAAGCTGGAAAACAGGCGGCTCCATCTGAACACCAGGAGCACTTCTGTGCTGTGCAGTCATACAGCACTGGCACAGGTCTCCTCCTTAGAGACCTTCCAAAGCTGCCTGGACGTGGCCCTGGGCACCCTGCTCTGGGTGCAGGGCAGTGGATCAGATGTTCTTCAGAGGCACTTTCCAACCTCAACCAGCCTGCAATGCTATGAAACATCGAATTCATAGCCTTCATTCTCAAATTCAGTCCATGGTGGAACTCAAACTCTTCATCACTCATCTTTTCCTGCTATGTTAAGTACATCAATATTTCAAGATAGATTGTTTTGGGCTCCTAAACACAAATTATCAAAGAGAATTCCATGAAATAAATAGCTTAACCAATGTTTTTTTTTTGTGTGTGTGTGTTACGAACACATTCAAAGCAAACAGTTAATAATGATTCCAAGTTGTTTTTCTTTTCACAACACAGTTCTAGAACTTCATGTAATCAACTCTGCAGCTCCATTTTAATGTCTGCTATAAAAGCAGTTTGTGAATTTCATTTCTCTTGCTTTTCTTTGACGTTATAACACTTACATTCCTCTTGGTTTTCCTGAAAAACAGTACTACTGTTCAGGCTCATTACAGCCCAGTTTTATCTTTAGATTTCCAATAGTAACAGTCTTGTTAAGTCTACTAAAACTAAACTCAATACAGAAGGTTTCACATTTTGTTTTCAGAAACTGGGTTCCTCTGCTTGAAAAAGAAATAAAAAAAAACAACTACATTTAGTTCTTGGGATAAAAGGTCACTTTTGTCATATTGCTGTCTGCACATTATTACTTACATCTCAAAAATTAGAAAGTGTTGGGGATGGGATGCTCAGCAAATTACCGCTTCATTGTCTTCAAAACCACAAAGACTGGAATCACAATTTTTATGCTTGGTAATACGTCTGGAATCATTGCAACAAACCTCAGAGCTAACAGCAACAGAAAATGAAATGAAGTTTATGAGCTGCTAATGTATTTATTACATCAGATGAAAAAGTTTGTGTAGCTAAGCAGTGAACGAATACCAACCTTTAAGTAAGACAGAAGCATACAAGTGCAACACAGCATGGATCCAAAAACTGTCAGCTTTGCCTGACTATTCATCCTCTACAGGGCCCAAGAAGATATGAAATATCACCAGTTTGAAGCAGGAGTTGGACTGTATGGAAAGACCTTTGGAGAACACAATGATACATAATTGTGCAGAGAATGTTGTGATATCATTAAGATTCCCAATTTCATGAGGACTCCAACAGAAAAGCATTTTTAATTTGCGCAAAAATAGGGAAGAAAATTAACTTCAAAGGGAAGCATGTAAGGTCAGAATATGAAAACAAAAAAACCCAAACTGTTTAAACATTTTTTTAGCACAACTGACCACAGAATATCATTCAGCTGATAAACTTATGGCAAAGGGTCTGAAGAATCCCACACTCTTCTTTTTGCAAGGAGGAAGAAGGCACAAAAGGTTAGACAAGAATGCTTTTATTCCGCTTTCAGCTCTCACAGTTCTAAACAGTAAACACAATTGACAATACATCCACGGTGCCAGAGAACACAGCCCTGGTATCAGTAAATGTCTACTGTTTAAGGCACTGATAGTGGGAAGAAAAAAAGAAAAAAATACATAACGTGGATCTCTCCTATGTAATCAGTACATGAATCTGTTAGGAATATGTGCTTGCTATTCAAATGCTTAAAATACCACAAGCTACATTCACAAACAAGTGTTTCTACAACTTCAGTAACTGGAATCAGTGGCCCCCTATTTGGACATACGAGCAAGTATTGCATTACTTTGGAATGGAACCAATTTCTAACCTACCAAAAACCAAAGCAAAACCACAAATGACCTCAGCAGTATGGCTTTAAGACCCTGTATTTGGTTACAATATACCAAGTGAAGTTAAGTAACAGCATACAAGTGTCATATACTGTTCCCTTAAAAGTTTTGCAGTATAAAAATTAGTTTAAAACACACTGAAGCCAGTTTTTGTACAAACATTTCTACAAAATTGAATTACTCAAAGAAAACAATGAAGAACAATTAAATATGAATCAGTTTTTACATATTGTAAGCACAAAATTACTTATCTTGATGATATAAATTAGGAACACTGCAAACTTTTTAAAGCTGTCATCCATGTACTACGGAAACACACACATCAGCAACAGTGAAGTGACAGATCTTCAAAAATCCTTAAGTCCCATTTATACTTGCCAAAGAGTTACACCACGATTTAGGTTTCTAGAGGAGCTACAGTGACCTCCCGTGGCCGCTTCGGAAATCCCAGTTCTTTAGAAGGTGACATTGTCAGAAATTCTGATGAACTTAAAGGTACACGAGCAGCTCACACTTGGTCCACCAGGAACCTCCAGTTTCCAATTGAAATGAGCACAAAGGAGCACAAAGCTTTCAAACAATCCAGCTCCTGGTCAAAGAAATAAAGTCCTGTCTCCTCTCATTCACCAGAAACCTCTTCAGAACAGTTTAGAGAACTGTTTCCTGAAGGTCAATCAGACACAATGTTCAACAGGCATTTAACAGATATTCAACATTAAGCTCCCAAATAAAGAACTGCAGCTTTTGCAAGAGCAAATGAAGGAAATGCAAATGGATGCTGTATCATTCACAGACCAACACAGAATGCAAAGTTGTAGTGTGTGTTTCAATGTGTGGCAAGTTCACAAATGTATAAAGCTCTAAGATATTTAAAAAGAAACCAAGCATAACAAAACAATCCAAAAGTTGATTATAAGCCTTCATCCACTGCTCTGAAGTAACGGGAACAAAACATTTTCTGCTATGTCACAAAAAGATCCTCAGTATAAGAACGACACAAAAATCACAGTAGTGACTGCCTCTCACCTGCAGTACGTTAATCGATACTTTAATTCTTCTCCTTCTTATAAGTCCTCTCTGTTAAATTCAACTTTCTTTCCATTAAGTGCCTCTTCTGTGTTTGGTGCCAGCCATGTGAAATACACCTTCACTGGATCAATATTCCAGTGTTTGTGAAATGACACTGGAATCTGGTGAGAAAGGTAGTCTTTGGGGTAGTCCATTGGCCGTGCCTAAGAAGGAAGAACAAACCAAAGCCATTTGTACTCAACAAGGAATCATAGAATCTCAAGGTTGGAAAGGACCTACAAGATCATCGAGTCCAACATCCTCCCATTACTCTTGCTACCACAAGCTTCTAAGGAAGAAGTATATAATCAGAGAGTACCGCCATTCAGTGGCCTCTGTATCACAACAAATATAAAAACATACAGGGTAACAACAGAGGTTATTTCATATCATTCTGTAAAATTACAGGCGTTAGTTTAGACCTCGTGCACTGCAGTTGGCATGCTATGAAGTACACTGGAATTAACCGTGTCCTATTTCTCAGGGTGAAATGGCCACCACTATGAATGCACCCTGAGCAGCACTGTTTGTGTCACACCTGTTTAAATACATTGTTCGTGTCCAATAATAAGAAAATCATTGTATGCAGTATTGTCTTTCTTCTCCTCCTCTTGAGAGATGCTAACCCTGGCACTGTGACTGTAGGATCCCAAATACAGCTGCTGGAATGTATGCAGTTTTATGACAGGGAAAGACTACTAAAGGCAAGAAATATTATGGTGCCAGAAAACTACATTATTCTTTATTGGGTTGTATCAGAAGAGACAGAATTACAACAAACTCTCATGATGCAGCTCAATTTTAATGCACCAAGCATGTTTCATCTCATCTGACAATTTAATGGCATGTAAGTGCATCTCTATATAAAAAAAGCCTGCTCTGGAGTGATCTGTGGTAAAATAACTATTTTTTTTTTTAGAGAAAGGCAGTAAAGACATTCAGAACTTTATTCAGGAAGCACTTCGTGTTAGTAAATATTTTTTAATATGCGGGAAGATGCATTCACTTTTTCTTTAGGTTCAAGACAAAAGAAGAAAATTGGGTGGTTAGGACACTGAATCAATGATTTGATGCCTAAGCTCAAAACTGACTGAATACTGTACATTTCAGCCTCTTGATGGCTGAAGTAATGAATTCTATGGGCAGCATTCTTCCAGCCCTTTCCTATACGCTCCAGGCACAAAATCAGTAAAGAAAATGCTAACATTAAGAAATCTGAATATGTGTTTTTGACACACAGACTGTTTATTAAAAAAAGAAATCCAGTTGTACGACCAGGAAGGACCCCAAACTAATTTTCTAGTTGTCACAAAAATCCAGTTCTGGCTTCTTTGCTTTAACAATATTTGTCACAGAACAGTGGGAATCAGCACACTCAAAACTCAAAACTGGAGTTCTTTTCTCAGACTTCATCTTTGTTAAAGGCACACTAAATTAGGATTTGTTGTAAGAGATGGTAAAAATGAATTACAATTCAAGTGTAATTCTCTGCAAACCACTAGGGTTTCACTTTCTAAGTGAATCAGTAATCAAGTGCACATTATTAAGGATTACAAATAAGTGCTTTGTTTTGTTCTTTAAGTGCCACTCCTACACATCTGTGAGATGAGCTCTAGTTTTTCAATCTCTCATTTGAAAAAAAAAATAAAATAAAACCCCTGTACAGGAAACCCCATCCACAAGCAAATTATTTTATAATTTTGCTGATTAAGATGCATTACTTGCTTTCTTTCATATTTATGCTGAAAGAAGTGATGATAAAATAAAGCAGAAAAAGAAATCAGTATATTTCTTCTTATGTGGTCAGGGAATTACAATTCTGAATGGAGCATCCTGGTCTTCCCATTCCTCTAAACAGTAAATGTAATCAGGAAAAAATGTCAATGTGGGGAACACTGATAATTTAGTTAGCTAACTTCCTCTCTGACCCTGGCAGCTGCTTTGAATTACTCGGTACTCTACTAATTTTCAATCAGCCTTTCAACTTAATCTTAGTTTATATTCAACTACACCAATCTTTCCAAATTTTAAGCAAGATGAACATCTGAAAAACATCCGGCACTACACTGACTTAAATGCTGATTTTTTAAAAGAAGGGTTTACACAGTTTGGAAAAATCACAAGTGCTTCTTCACTCTTGTACCATGTACCATGGGAGGAAAGAAAATTATTTATTTGTTCCATGACTCAGCATACCTCACTGGGACTTGGTGCATTCTGTTGTCCATTGTCATGTTACAGATACGTTGTTAACTATTCTTGACAGTGGATTCAAATCTATTCCAATCCCATTCTCCCTAACTGGAGATACACTTAACAGGAAAATTGTGATTTGTGACCTATTTTTCCCTTGTGTTGGCAGAGATCAATTTATCAGAAGATATTTGTACCATTCCTCTGAATCTGCCATCAAAGCAACAGCTGGAGGAACATTTCTACATATATTCGTATAGATTCAGTAATAAGTGGATTCAGAATAATAAATGTTGAATCAGTAGAAAAATTCCAGTACCTACATGGAGCCTACAAACAGGAGGGGAATCAACTCTTTGAAAGGGTAGGTAACAGCAGGACAAGGGGAAACGGTTTTAAGTTGAAGCAGAGAAGATTTAGGTTGGATACCAGGGGGAAGTTCTTTACTATAAGAGTGGTGAGGTGCTGAACAGGCTGCCCAGAGAGGCTGTGGATGCCCTGTCCCTGGAGGTGTTCAAGGCCAGGTTGGATGGGGCCCTGGGCAGCCTGGTCTAAATGTGGAGGTTGGTGGCCCTCCGTGTGGTGGGGGGGTTGGAGATTCATGATCCTTGAGGTCCCTTCCAACCCTGGCTATTCTGTGATTCTGTGATAGGAGTAAGCAGAGAAAATAAATTCCCTGAAAAATTTCACTATCAAGTCTCTACTTCCTGAAGAAAAAAATTTTTCTGTGTTGTGTTTTGTTTAGTTTTCTGAGCTTCTTTTTTTTCCCAGTTAGGCTGTGCATACCCCCTTCCTGGAAGCATTCAAGGCCAGGCTGGATGGGGCTTTGAGCAACCTGTCTAGAGGGAGGTGTCCCTGCCTATAGCAGGGGGTTGGAACTAGTTGGTCTTAAATGTCCCTTCTAACCCAAACCATTCTATGATTCTATGACATACCACAATTATTCAAAGCATGTGGCAACTCATTCTATTTGTTTTTCAAAGGGCTCACCTCTGTTACAGAGTAAACAAAATATCCTATGAACTGCTAAAAAATTATAAACAATTACTGTACATGTAATAATCCATGCTTTGAATTGCTGGTCAAATGTTCCAAAGAGAAGTGAGTTGTAGCAGCATTTTGGTTATGATTATTACACATTGGTCCACTTGGTAATATTTATGAGTCTTATTTTATGCATACCATTAAAAGAACAAAACATGTTTTAAGCACTAGTAAAAACAACTTTCTGACCTGATGGAATAGCGGGCTGTGTGTTATAGGGATTCCTAAGCCACTGAAACACATCCCCAGGACCATATCATCAGGTGCATCCATGCTGTAACACCGGCACTTACTAGCAAGCAGCCTCTGAACAGCTGTTCTACTGAAAACCATCCTGAGGAGGAGAAAAAAAACAAAAAAAAGCAAACAAAAAGCATTGTGCAGTAAGTACTAAAGTAACAAAATGACTTAAAATGATTAAAAGTTGCTAACTGATGTAAAGTTGCAAGACAACACATAGCCCTCCAATGCAACTTATCTGGAATTTGAGGATTTGAGAAGTCATTACTGGTAAGTAATGCAAAAGGCATTTTCTGAAAGATAATTACTCCACATAATGAAAACTAATTATGCTGCTATTCCAACCATTACTTAGCTAGCCTTCATTTTTTACCACTGACAATTACTCCTACATTTCATCAGGATTTTAAAGGGATATTCTCTTCTATCTTATTCTAATATATTTTCTAGTTAGTTCTCATATAAACAAAAAAAGAAGAACTCTAAACCTCAACTGTCATTCCCTGAATCCTTTGCTATACTGAGTTCTCTCCATAAAGAAAAAATCTTCCTTGAAGCTATATGAAAGGCTTCTTGTTTCTTTCTTGCTCATCTAACAAGAGCCTGGAGCCTGTAGGTTATTATCACTAAAATAAGCCTCCAATAGACCAGAAGCATGATGCTGTCTTAAATTCAGCAGCAGAGGGAATACTTTTGTAGAGCATTCTACGACTGTTTTTTCTGAGGTTACATCATTCAGTTAGTCCAGTACAGGGTGCTCTAACTATTACAAATCACACTCCAGAAATTCAAGCTTCAAATCTGCTACACAGCTTCATGAGTTCATTCACTTTATGACCAACAAGATGCAAGGTGTATTCCTTAGCTCAAGAATATACACTATTTAAACAAGATTTTATGGAACTAAGCAAAGCAATTAGGGAGCTTAATTAATTTTTTATTTTATTCAGTCGTTCCTTATTTAGCCATTAATTTTCACATGAAATGATGCTAAGGGCAAGCAAAAGACAGGACTTGCTTTAGACACACAAGATGCTTCTTACGATGGTTCTCAGTGTAATACAAGCCAAACTGAAATACCACATAAATGTTAATTTAAACCAATTTCTACACACAATCACAGTGGTCCATATTTCTCATGCATGAGCTTAACCCACAATGCACTTTCTAGAAGACTTTTTATCAGGAAAGAATATAAGATTCCTTCCTCATCTATCTCTCCATAAATGACTGCATGAATTTCAAAAATCACCAGCGGTTTTACTTTTTACCCATGCTTGGATAAAAACAAAGAACAAGAAAAGAGCAGTTTCACTGCAGCAATCTGTATCATTCAATGTGCTTCTTTAGGTTCTCCTTAAACTCCACCAAGTTCAGATCAGAAACAAACTCTTTTAGGGAAACATCCCAGCTGTCTCTGCTGACAATACTTTGAATCACACAGATGTTCTGTGTGTGCGCAGAATGAATTCTGTCAGATGAATCAATGCAGCATGATGTGCATCAAAACAACCTGTGGTGCTGATAATTGGTAACGGGCACACAAGTTCACAGGAGCAATCAAACCAAAACAAACCCCCTTAAACATGAGTGGTCCTCAGCACCAACCACTTTGCTCTACAAATCTGTTCCTGCTGAGCTGCACAACTTATTGTAACAAACATTTGGGTCTTTGAGCATCACTGCTTTTTAATTGTACTAGGAAACTTTACTGATTCTGCTGCAACTGATTTGTACTGTAATTCAAAACATTAGCATTCAAACCAGGAACTAATGTAGATCTCAGCAGGAGCTGAAGCAAATTACCCTCCTCCTCCAGTGATATAACTATATCCTCCTGTTCCCAAGCCGTAACCATAACGCTCTCCAAGAAATACTGGTTCATTTGGGTCATAGCAGCTGAGCAGTTTTCGGAGTCTGGAGATACTGAAAGAGGAAAATCCATCAAAGAGAAAGAAATTAAACCGTAAAGACATTTATTTCAAAAATGACACTGCTAGCCTAAGTGGTATTCTAACAAACAGCAAAAACATGATCGGAGAAAATCCAAACATTCTACAGAAAGCAGAGACTTTTAAACAGAAATTTACAATGGACTATTTACTATGAGATATGACTGCTGCGTTTGCTCAAATCCATCAATGAATCAATTAGTTAAAAAATGTTTTTCTCAATTCAGTCCCATGAAGAAAACGTGTAACTTTTTTTTTCCCTCAAATCATAATAAGAACTTTGCAAATAATTATTTTAGCCCAGGCATCAGGAGACAATAAAACAAGTTTTAATTATTACAGACACTGCTTTTTGTACAGTTACAGCCTCTTCCAAATTTTCCTTCTTCTGCAATTTAATGTGAAGTATTCCTTGAACCACTGATTCTGATGCTCATGACTACGTGATCCTGATCAACATGCCTTGTTTTTCTTATACTGCAGTGTCAGTTTTCAGGTAAATGGGATCTCATTTCCTAACAAAGTCAAGTCCCTGAATACAGTCCTGGGTGGCTCTGACAAATGACCATGTAACCTTCTGACTCTTTTATGCAAGGAACACAAGCTGAAAAAGTGGACTGCAAATTACTAAAACCAATCAACTCATACATGCCTACGCTGAAGAATCACAGCAGGTGACCTTATCATATTGAGACTACAGGATTAGATAGTAACACTATGCATAGCTTTTATTAAATCACAAGCTTACACTTTTTTAAATATCGATCCAGGAATGCTGAGCAAAAAGTGACAATTTTATTCCTGGAAACTATATAAAGCTAAATATAACAAATGAAAAAGCTGTATATCTTAAATACAGGAAAAGAGACAAATATTGCTAAAATTCCTACCAACATCAACAGCAGTAATCCCTGAAATACTGTAACTTGTACCTTATCAGTGTGTCATCATCCACTATGACTAACCATGGAGTTCTGGGAGAGCTATGATTCAAATACCTTTCCAAAATGGCAAAAGTTTTCCCACAGTGACCTAGAGGGAGAGGAATAACAGAACATATACATTTAAATATCATGACATTTCGTAAAAGTCAATCACTACTGAATTAAGAGTGCTCACTGGACTAAAACATCTTGGAAATGACTAGAAAAATATCTGAGATACAAGTTTAAATTATCTGCTTCATTACACTGAATGGTGTTTGCATAAATGGTCATTGCTTTCTATGCAAGAACAAAATTTTGAAGCATGCTTTAATATGAACAGTCTTTGAATAACGAAAACCTGGAAAACAAGCTACATTCTAGTTACCCTATTAACCTGTTGGACAACTCAGGGCAAACTGCTACTCTTAATTTCTGACACTAAAAAAAAATGAAGAGATGATGATAGATATTCCTTCTGCAAAGTACTCTGAGATATTTTCTGAATACCTCATAATGCATCAGGTCTATTGCACGTCAACACTCATGCCTACATTGATCTACTGTGCTGCAGCTCAGGTTCTGATAACTTCCTCTGAAGAGAGATCTTAACACTCAATGTAAGATTACAGTGAAACTGAAAGGTAAAACCCTTTAGTAGGTTTTAAAAAGGTGAAAAGTCTTTATAATGAGCAGGACAAAAAAAACAACTTCAGACTTATATGGAATCTTTTTTACACCTCAGAAAAATCCAACTGAAAACAGTCTTTAAGTATCTAGATTACAGATCAGTATTGTGTATTGCTATCAATACTAGGGTTACTAAACAAGCATTAAAAGGAAGGATGAAATATTATAATTGAAGCTACTTTCAGTTAAAATATTTTGGGAAAAAAAAAACAAAACAATACTAACTTGCTGCTGAAGAGATAAGGAAATCCTGGCTTTGCTGATTTTGTGAAAATACAAACTTAATGCAGACAGATACATAAGTATTTACAAAATTAAATCCAAGATTTCTGTATAACATTCCACAAAAGATGCAAAAACAATACTGGAGCAAATTCAGAACAGTTTACTTTGTTCAGAAGGCCAGTAGACCAAAGGTCCTAGAGTTACACAACGATGCTTAAAGGTCATACAATATGTCTAAAAGCAATGGAAGAAGAAACCCAATAACCTGAAGCCATCATATCACAGCCTTTTTTTTCTCTGTTCGAACACAAAGCAAATGAGCACTCCAAACTCACATTTGTCATAAAGAAAGAAAAAAACTTCCAAAGTTAACATTTCTTTTTTGTGCCTAAATACAGGCATATTAGACACAAGCATACAACGTTTGAATACCATATAGTAAGTAGTTCACATTCAGTAACCATTTGGTCTGAGGCCTTCTGTCACAAATCCATGACGCATTACAGCAATTAATCTTAGGCCCAGCATCATAACACCAATTCCTGTCTCTTTCAGTAAATCTGCATGCCTTTTTATTATATTTACAAGTATTCAGTTTTCTACTCAAAAAATACAATAATCACAGGTGATCTGTACTCTCCAACCTTTTCCTGTGTGAAAGTAGTATTCTTTTAGTTTTAGATGCAGGAAAGTGTTACTGAAATAAATATACATGAAATACATGCATTGTCCTGAAAACATACAACCTTTACACAGTTACTTGGGACAAACTGCCAACAAGAGGTAAGCCAACAACTTACCTCTTTCAGTATTCGGTACACCTAAATCTACAGTAGGAATGGAGATGTCTCTGTAATCACTGTAGTATTCAATAAGTGCAGCTTCTCTTTCCCAAGTCTGCTTTACAACTGGTACTGCAAAACAGTTGTTGACATTGAAATATAAGTAACTGCTAAACTGAAATGTTTATGTCCCTGTTAACCGACACATTCAATCACACTGTCATGAAAATAATGTTTCAAGTACAGCATGATGGCTGTAAACATTCACTCTTTTTTCTTTCCTACAGTATTTAAGGCAACCGATTTACATTTTCATGAAAGCCAGCCAGGACAATTTTATCTATGCTATAACAAAATTTCTTTAAAATATGTCTGTAGTTTCATTCACACGACACTGAGGACTGTGATGTTTACATTTGTATTCGAAAGTATGGAATTCATTATTCTTACCCTTGCTATGTTGGACTTGTATCACACATCTATTAGAGATCAATCACTCTTCCAGTATTGAAAATGTTACATTTTAGAAACAACACATCCAACTGCACAGCATACAAAATATTCTGAATCATAAACAGACCAAATGCATCTTCTGAAATGCCTCACTCGTGCCATAAACACAGTGTTTGTCAGCAATGCAACGTTAATGCTCAAAAGCACCTGTCCCCAGAGTCACATTCACAGAAGAACATTTCTGATATCACACAATCAGCTTGTAGCCCTTGGAGATTCTGTTCAAAGGAGGACTGTTTAACACTTGTCTATAAGAGCAATCCTTTTCTTATTAGTTTGCCATTTGACATGAATATCATAAATACTTCAAGTAGATATACAGAATTCTAATGATTACTCTACAAATGTTTCAACAGTGTCAGCCCCAAACAGTCAGACAGTTGGACTAGATGAAATTTCTAAGTTCCTTCTAACTAGAACTACTGTATTTTCTGAAGTTAATAAATTATGAGTAACATTAAAAGAAAAAGAAAACCCACCAGCAAGCAGAATGGTGGGCACACCTGCAGGATGTTTGGAAGAAAACGATCAGATTAATATCAATGATCTTTCTTTCACTTTAAAAATGAAGTGGGCAGGCCTAAGGTGAGCAGCCACTCTAAAACAACATGCATTTTGTTCTCCTTGTTCATTTTGCCCTGTGCATTTTGACACCACCCACCAAATCTCATTAGCAGCAGCTCGTTATCTATATCTATGGTTATCTATGGTTGCTAAAGACCCAAATCCTACACGTTTTTCAGAGGTAAAATTTAAGTTATTCCTCACACTCAAAAAGTTATATTCCTACTAGGAGGAAATATTTACATGAATTCCTTTTGCTGCTATTTAACTTTGATGTCTGTGAATAACTGATTTTAGCCCCCTGCTGGAACTGCTCTTCACCTAAATGCCTGCTGCCCACCTAGTTGATTGCTTCCCTCTAATCCCATCACATAAGGGTTAACTGTAGGATTCCTGATTGATCAACTCTCAGCTGGGTGACTAAAGGGTGCCTGGTAGGATAGAGTAGGAAGAACACAACTCACTAAGAGAAAAAGTTGCAAATTTGGTGCAATTCTACTTCTGTAACAATGTGTAGATAGTACTGCTTTTAAAGGTTTTACATAAAATTGCAAGCAATTTTTGAAATAAAAATCCATAGGGAATTATGCACAAAAAAATATGTTCATGCAATGTTACAGGGCAATTCTGAAGTGCAAATTTAGGAATTTCACAATACTCTTCTTCTCCTGTGTACTAAAAATTGTATCAGATCATGTAAATACTGCATAATCATGCATTAATTGGCAGAAAATACCATGTAATTTTTTTTTCCCAATTACAATAAAAAAACAAGTTGGCAAGAAATCATTTTAGAATTTTGTGAAAAAGTTCCATTTCAAAAAAATTGTTTCTTGCAAGAACAAAAGCAGCAAGTTTCCAGAAACCAAGCCACCAAATTAGAAATATCACAGAAATACATCATGCTTCCAATCTTCACCTGGTAGCAGAACACACCTGTAAGGGCATTTTTACTCTTCCCCAGCCAAGGAACTAAACCTCAGTACAAATACAAAGAACTATTTACTGCTGGAGATTGAGCCTCTCAGCTTCCTTGGTGGAATCCCCCCTTCTTTGCATGACTGAAAAAAGAGTTCAGTGAAGCAGAGACCTGAGTCTCACCACAGTCAAATGGCCTAATAAAGGAGCTAAAAGCTCAAGCACTGTTCTCCTTTCCTTCCTAGTTTTAATGGAAATGTCACCATCCAGACTAATGCCTAAACTGAATCCCTCAATCATTTCCAATTTCTAACAGCTCATTTTCTAAACAAAGAACAGAAATCTGAAAATTTCTGACCAACTACTGATACAAAAAGTTATTATCTAGTAATACTAATGATCACATGGCAGGCATAACTCCACACTACAGAGAGATTAACAGGTCAGTTCCAAGCTCTTTATCTGAGTGTGCCACTTTTAGAACACTGTTCCTGCCCTGAAATCTTCCTATATTACCATTTATAGTATGCGTTGGGAGAGCTCTATCTGAAGTCAATTCTTGAACTGCTTTTGCACATCAAATACTAAACCTTCCTGCTGCACTAATGTAGATTTTGGCATACAATAAAAAATGACTTACCAGGTAAAAGGAGCTCTCTGAAGCTGGCATCCACTAATCTTTCAAAATCTTGAGTAAGATTATCCTCTATTGCATAACACTGGAAACTGTGAGGAAAGTTCAAGAATTTTCCTCAGTCTTTAACTGCTGCTTCTTGGAAGATTATTATGCTATCTTTTTGAAGCTTTATTTTTTTTTTTTGACTTTCTAGTTTTGCTTTGTTTCATTTCAATATTAATGCAAGAAATTAAACATGGATCCAGAAAGGAGAAGTCTTCAGTGAACTCCAATTACAGGACAGTCAATTTTGTTCTGTCAAAAGCTACTTGCTGAAGATCTCCAAAAGACTAGTATGAAATAGTGGAAGAGGGCCTTCATCAAGTGCAGTAACAACACCAAGAAAAGAATTACATAAATCTTATCCCGAAGGAAAAAACAACACTTGGAAAATAATCTAAATCTTAAAATGGCAGAATCTACCATTTTGGATACATTAGCAAACAGGGATTTAGTTACAAAAGGAGCTTTAATCTTTTTCCTATCCTCTGACATAAGATGTGGCAATCTCCCCACCCCCCCCACCAAAATAGTACCAGTATTAGCCTTTTTTTTTTTAATAATAATAATAGTCACTTTAAATTAAACTTATGAACAAAGTATGCCAATGCTTACATACCTGTAGTATTCAAGGGCACATGTAATTCAAATATATCAATGGAAATAAACCTACTTCCAATTTCTTTATTAACAAAATGTCTAGAAGTAAACTGGAATGGACTGTTAGGTGGCATCAAGCAGGCAGAATGCTTATTGTTAAACTGGAAAGGAAAATCCCAAGTCCACAAACTGTTATATACACTGATATATAACATATATATATAACATATACATACATATTATATATATATATATATATATATATATATATATATATAAATATATTATATATATATATATATATTTATATATATAATATATATATTATTATATATATATAATATATAAATATATATTATATATATTATATATATATACATATTATAACATTATATATATTATATATATATATATAACATATATATAATAAAGCTGAGCTTTAATATATATTATGTGAAGCTGGGTATCTCCACGTGTTTATTTTCCTTGTCTCTCAGAAAGAAGGTAAAACCCATTGAACTGATTTGGTGGAGCTTTGCTAGTTGGTTGGTTGTTTGATTACTGTTTTTGCCATGGATGTCATGGTCATATTATCATGTTAACTATGTTGTAGAACATCCATTTCCAAATTAAACACTACAGCATTGTACACTTGACAGATTACTGATCCAGATTTTGATAAAGTATTATGTTGACCAGATTTTTACAAGAAAGAAAATATCCTATGCCAAGCACTATAAAAACCCTGTTCTCATCACTGCTTAAAGTGATTAACGCAATAGAAGAGCACAAACTATCTTTTATTGGGGTGAAGGGCAATACACAAGGTAGTACCAGAGGACAGAGCTTTCAGCTTGCTCTAATTTCTGAAGCAGTCACATGGGCCATTGCTAATACAAGGAACAGAACTAAACTGACTATCCAGGGGAGCACACTGAAGGGTGTTAAGAGTAGCAATATTAATATCGCTAATATCACTACAGCTCCAATTTCCACCGTATAAACTAAGCTTATGCAAATGTTCAGTTCAGATACTCCATTTTAACATTGTCAACCAATCGCTAACGATGAAGCACCAAATAACTTTGCCTTAAACATTCTGCAACCCACCTGCGGAACTCTGAAGTTTTTGTGCTTCCCAGTGGATTTTGCAAATATTTGGTCCAAGAGGTGCACAGACAGCACGTATCAGCTTGTTTTCTAAATATTAATTTCATAAACTATACTGTACAGAACTACTAACTTGACTAACCAACAACTTACTTCTGTCTCCATGAAATTTCCGACATGTTTTTACAGCAACAAAGACATCTTCCTTTTTTACTGGCTCTCCCTATTTGGATAGAACAAAAATGAAATTGCAGGCTCTGGCTTTAACAAATTTATAGGATATGTATGTCCATATATGTAATAGAACAGAAGATATATTTTCATTGTACAGCATATCAAGTAGAATAGGATATTAGTAATGCATTTGAAACTAAATTTTTGTCTCTTGGCAAAAATTGGTTTTAAATTCCTAAAATAACATTAACTTTTTTCATTGATAAAATATTCTAACATGAACTAAACAGCTATTGTTAGAAAAAGAAAATGAACTGTTGCATTAAGAATGATTCATCTGAAAAAAGAAGTTTCCTTAACTTCTTTGAAATTAAAATAATCACTATGAGAAACTCAACGCTTCTCTGATATTCATAAAAAGAAACTTGAAGTCTACACAGTACAAATCTGAATTTCCTCATCTCTAAAATAAAATTGTTTAATCACCCTATTGGTTTCCCTTTTGGAAACCAGATAATCTAGAATTTTGCTGTCCTAGAATCATCGAACACTTATTTGCCTCTGATGAGTTAACCCATGACGTCACAAATGCATTCTCCTAGAGATGGAAGCAATAGGCTTTACATCAATGCTGTGTTACATTTTATCTTTAGCCTAAACAAGATTAAATTTCCCATCTGTGGAAAAAGAAAAATCTGTACTTCAGTAACTCAGAGAAATATACAGAGAATTATTTTAGAGATCATAAGCTGCTCAACCACTGTGGTAAAAAGACCAATTAAAGTATATATGATATTTGTTTGTCAGGAAATATCCTGTGCTCTAGAAGTCTGAAAATAACTATAAACACCTACCACAACAAACCTTTTTTTTTGTTTATTGGAAAATATTCTTTCACGGTTTGAGATATTTTAAAACCAATGTTACTAATTTATTAAGAACTGTTCCTTTACTAAGCAAGTGATATTTAAAATGAGGTACTTACACAAAGTGGAAGAAAGTTACTGAATGTTGTTGCACACTGATCAACCCTATCTGAGTTCACATCACCTGTACAGAATTCAGGCACTGGAGTAAGATGTGGTCCATCCCCTTTCTGCCAAATATACAGGGCAATCTAACAAAATGGAAGACATTCATATCAGTAATGAAAACTGGATTAGCATTCTCAAGGCTTACAAAGAAATCATACTACAAGATAAAGTCGAAAGAGAAAATGGAAAATATCAGATGATGCAGATGATTTGTGTCCTAGTTGATTTAATAGCTGGATACCTTACCTTTTGCTCACATTTCTACAGCTAACATCTAATTATTTTTTGCTATAACAGAAATTCTATAGATACTCAACTTTTGAAGGATTTAGTTAGTTTCATTTATTCAAGTATGTCAAAAGAATCAATCTTTTCCTTTTGTAAGAAAAAGTAGAATTAAATTTTGCACCTTCCTTTGAATTAAACTTTACTGCTCTTTTCAAACTACTTTCATGATTTGGAATAGGTAGGTCTAGTTCCATAGGAATATGGAGCACTTCTCAACTTTACAAAATAGATGCATTCTCTGCTGATAATTTAAAGTGCTTGAAATCAGCAATGAAACTCAGAAAATGTAAAATACATTGAAGGATAATGTAACGGATATTCTACACTACACTAGATTCTTGTCCATTTTAAATTCAACGACCAAAAAATCCCAGCAGAAACGTTCAGAGAAAGGGGAAGAACCGAATCAGTGATGTAGGAACAAGGCGAAGCAACTCTTTGTGTTTACATTCATTTCATTAGTAATAAAATTTATAATATTTCAGTCTATATAGACTTGCTCAACATTTCTATTGCAAATCTTTTGGACTGCTTATAACTTTACCTGATTAAAAATACATAAAGAATAGTTACAGACTGGGTGTCCCCCAGACCACTTAAAAGATTAACTTCACATCATACAAAACCGTACAAACATTTGTTAGAGTTTCTAAAAGAAAAAGAAGTTTCTGAAAGGCAGAAAAGAGCACCTCATTAAGTATGGCTATTCAAAGCTTCTGACCTGCAGATGTACACTCCCAACTCTGAATTCTTAGTCTCTCTCAAAAATAGGTCAAGGATGTGGAAAAATCCTCACGTGGTATGAGAGCTGCGTGAGCTCACAATGCAGAACTCTGCGACCCTGGTTTGCTTCCTCTTAACTAATTCCAAAATTACAGCTTTTAGTTTTCAAAAGGGACCCTATGCCAACAAATCATAAATATTCAGTGAAAGACACTCCACACTACCTCATGAAACTGAATTACTGTGCAAGAATTAAAATTTGTGGAATTAACAGCATACCAAAATGGAGCTTGACTCTAAACCCACTCTACCCTGTAATGGGTCTCCTTCAAGGCAGGAAAAATCCATCCTGGTTTCTACTTTCTGTTTCCAATGTTTTTTTACAAATATTCCCAATAATTCTTGCATGAAAAGTATGTGTTTCACTGAAATATGGGACCAGACCCAGCACACAGAAAAGGCAATGAAAATGATCTCCTTTTCACTGTTTTATGCCTACTTGGGAAGTAAAAATCATTGGTTTTAAATATCCTCATGCAACGTAGTGGCTAGAAAGCAGATCCTCAATTCAGTCATTAAGTTGTTATCAAGAGGGTAAAATATTTCCTCCTGCCCAGTGTTTGGGAAGAACTTGGTGCAAGCTAAGAAGAGCATTATGTATGGTCCAGACGTGCCCAGGTCATGCCCATGTCATCAAACCAGTCACAGACTTCTGATCTCAGTCTGACCAACAGTCAGAGTTACAGGATGGCTGAGGTGGAAAAGGAACTCTGGGGGACTCCCTGCCCAATCCTGCTCAAGCAAGGACACCCAAAGCAGGATGGGGGCTTTAGAAGATCTCTAAGAAGGAAACTCCACAGCATCTCTGGGCAATCTGCAACTGTGCTCTGCCATTTGCACAGGACACAAGTGTCTCCCGGTGTTCAGAGGGAACTTCCTGCGTGCCAGTTTGTGCCTATTGCCTCGTCCTGGCATTAAGCCAAACTAATGCTGAAAAGAGCCTTGTTCTGGACTCTTAACACTGTTCCTTCAGGTATTTATGGAAATCGAGATCACTCTGAGCCTCCTCCAGGCACAGCAGTCCCAGCTCTCTCAGCCTTTCCCCACAGAAGAGGAGTTCTAGTAGTTTCATCATCTTGGTGGCCTTTCATTGGACCCTTTCCAGTACGTCCTGGTCTCTTGCACTGGAAGCCCCAGATCTGTGCTCTAAAAGTAGCCTCACCAACACTGCGTAGAATGGAAGGATCATCTCCCTTGATCTGCTGGCAGTGCTTTGCCTAATGCAGTCAAAAATACTGTTAGCTTCCTTAGCATCAAGGACACATTAACGACTCATGTTCAGCAAACTCAACATCCTCAGAAAACAAACAAACCCTAAAACCTACACACAGCTTTTTGGGAACTTAGCAGGAATGAAACAAAACTGCCAGATCATTACGTGCACAGCTTGCACTCGAGGCGGGTTTGAGAACAAAATCATATTCTTGAGAATTAAGCTTCTAGATTTAACAAGTTTTGGATAGCAAACAACTAGGGTACAATAACATACTAGCACAAAGTAACTGATGGATTTTTTTAGAAGTTGCTGCTTGTAATTGCCATAATACAAATGCATTCAGATCACCACCAGTGCAAATTACTAGCCTTTAGTTTACAGTTTTAGAATTTAAATTACTGTATTTTTCCTTGTAATTGAAGGGATGCAGATGACTAGGAGCTGTGAATGTAAACTACCAGTGCTCAGCTGGCAGTGAATTGTTAAATCACTCTAGGTCAATGGCAGCTCTGTAGTTTGCAAATTCTTATTTCTCTAAGCTTCACTATTGTTAAGTGGTCTGTTTCCTTGCTGTTTTAGTAGTGCTTTGGAAACGCATATGATTTTAGCATTATAGGTAAGTTTGACAGAGTACTAAAGGGATGGGCCCCTCTGTATGGAAGAAGATGAAAGCACGAGTAGCAGTTCAGCCATTAATGGTGGTTGGAGTAGAGGAGGACCATGGAAACAACACATAACACATACACACTTGTGTATGTTTCTTGCCTGCTCTTTACCACATCTCCAAAGTTATCTTTCTGCCTTGCCACTACAGTCACATTATAGGATGTAAATGGTTCTAGATCCCATCTTGTAGCTGGAAGACTACAGGAGATGGGATTTAGAAACACCTTCCAGTAATTCCACTGATCCAAACCTAAGCTAGTCATAATGAACATTTATCATGTGAACCAACAAAAAAGCAATGCTTCTGCTGCACAAAGAACATTTAAGAATTGTAAATTAATATTAACTATTTATGAAAGTTTATAACATGCTAAGATTTCCCACCGAATAATGCATTTTTGAATGAAAATCCTTGGACTAGTGTGGAACCATCATATTTCAGAAGTAAGAATAGACTGCCCTTTTGGTTACTGAACAAGATAACACTGCTCCTAAACCAATGGAAACATACATAAAATAAAAAGTTGAAGACAGTTTTAGCTCTACATTAAACCTAATGTTACATATGCCAAAAAAATCTATTATTTCCTTCCAGTTTTGAATATCAGGACATATACCACGCATGCAATTACAAAATGTCTAATAAGAAATCCGCAAATGAACAACAGCATGACCATATTTGCAAAGTGGAAAGGGATATAAATATTATGGATACAAGAAATAAGGACTTAGGAAAGCAACAGGGTGAAAAAACTGACACAATGCACAGTAAAACACCAAGGACTAAAGGAGCACATTATCGGGACTTGTCAAACTAAAACAGGTCTTAAAACATTTATAATCCTTCATAAATTTAAACAGTATACACAGTCACTAAAGATCGCAGATTATACTCTTTGATTTGTAGTCAATCTTGATTCATATAAGAAGGCTGTAGCAAGATAAAAATGATTTAAGAAGGAGAAGATGGTGATTTGTAAAATAAATGAGTGGGAATGGAACTGTCTCCAGGGAGCTGTGAGTCTGTGCAGAAAGAATAACTACAGAGCTGAAGCAGGTTATCAATGGCAATAAATCTGAAAAGAAATATATGCAAAGAACTGTTAACAGAATAAGAAGGGGATGGAAATAATTTTTCAAGCCAAGTGATCAATTGTTTTTCATGAATTAATGTGTGGCACATAAAAGAAAAGTCTGCTAATGACTTTTCCTGATGACAGTATGTGCAAAGGCTTTGTGAGTGCTGAAGTAGACTAGAATATTAGGAATATCCAAGTGACTCTGAGGTAAGTTACAGAAACAGGATTAACAGTGTGAATTTACTCTTGAATTTAGGAAAGAAAGGACTGAATTTAGGAAAGAAACAGCTTATTGCTGTTTCATATAACAAAATGGAAGTTGAGTGGGGTTCAATTGCTTTTGAGAAATACATCAGTCAAGGAGGGAAAACTATATGAAAGAACAGTATTGGCACAAAATCAAATTCATTTAAATACGCTACTGATTTATACTCTATAAAATGCAGTATAGATTTGTGTTGGAAATGAAAAGCCTTCTAAGTATTATAAAGATCTGGAAGAGCAACAGTAGTTTAATTTTCTTTCCATCTGGGCCAGAGCCAAAATTTATAGCTGATTTTTAGGAGAGCATAAAAAAATTACACTAATTCAACATTTCAGGTCCAAATTAGCAATCTTACTCCAGACTCATCCTATACTTGCTCCATGGTTCAATCTGGTGACAAATACTAAACCCTGGGCTGCACAAACAATTTGAAGGCAGAAAATATAAAAAAGCAGCAGAGAAAGTAGCAATGACCTTTTTTCAGATCCCTTTTCCTTCCTTTCATACTCCCTTCAGCCAACTCATCTATTCTCCAGTCGCTACCTTTTAAAACCATTAGCAGCCAAAGGCAATGAAATTTCTAAACTATCACACTGCAATTGTTGACACAATTTCTACTCCTGAAGCTACTTCAGCCCAAGTTCATCACACCTAACTCTAAGAATCTGATTTAGAAAGTAAATGAGGCTTGCCATTGTCTGAGATATTATTTGTGCCAGTGTTTTACAAATTAGAAGCCACTCTGCCTCTCTACAGAACAAATCTTTGAAGATACCTCACTGTATACAACCATACATGCTATAAATGCAGTTTTATCATGAATTCTTCTATGCTTGAAACATAATTGTAAAGTATTATGTTATTATATTCTTAAAGCAAGGGAAAGAAACTAAACATGTTATTGCATTCACAATTTTTAGCAATCTCTTATTTTCATTATGAATTTATCAGTACTCAAATATATAGATTTCATAGCTTTTTTTCTTTTGTACTTACATTGGAAGTACAGAACACTGCTTACCTCATGTTTTAAATCTATTGTAAAGTCTGACTTGAGTGGTTCACTTTTCAGCTTAGTTGCAAGCCTGTACAATTAAAGATGAAGACATTTACTCTCTTCAAAAAGCATATAAAAAAAATAATCAGTCATTCCTGTATGCAGCAAAGTGTGGCCAGTACTTCTGACCAGCTATTTACAAGAAAAGAAAAGATATATTCTGCATATATTGCCTCAAAAAACAACTTGTATTTCTTTTTCCAATCTTTTCTTTTTTTTTTTTTTGCACACAGAGTGATGATGTTAATATCAGTTTTCAGGACATACATTTCGACACATATTTTCTGCCTAAGAAGAAAGGTTTTATCTGCAAAAGATGAGAACAGTCTGGCACAAAGTTTTCAATGGATTTCAGCTGCAATCAGTATCAAAGACAGCTCAAAATTAAAATCTGAATTTAACTTTGCATATTTACCTTCCTGTACACTGTAGGCATACGTACATCTTTTACATAAAAGTATTAAGAAAGTATTATGTTTGAAATCATAACTCATTAAAGGAATAACAGCATCTAGAAAAACTATGAATTCTAAACTTCACTGCTATAAACAAACAATTCAGAAGTAATTAAAAATTCAATTCTTACTTGTTAACGAGTGGAATACTAAGTGCCCAACCAGCAGCAAAATCTGGAAATTTGAAGACTGTAGGATTTTCAGCAAAGGCATAGTGGTGAATTATTGTAGATTCTTCATCATGTAATGCTTTACCTAAAAACCACTCCTGTAAAGGAACATATGAAACAATTTTATTCATCTACAGCATCCTTTGACTGCACTCATTCTGAATAAAGCAAATCTCAAAACAGAAACAAGGGGCGTACATAGTTCACAGTAATACAGACAAAAATTGTACTTGATAAGAAATGAAACTAAAAGCAGTTCTCTAAGTTCAGAAGCACACTATTTTCACTCTGGATTCCACCTGTTCAAATTAGAACCATGGAATGGTTGAGGTTGAAAGGGACCTCTAGAGGACACCATGTCCAGTCACCCTGCTCAAGCTGGGTCAGCCAGACCAAGCTGCCTCCTTGTGCCATCTGTTCCAGGCTTTGACCACACAAACTGACTACTGATCAGGCAGATCAGTTAAAAGCACTGCATTGCTTTCAGAAACTTCCTATAAATTCATTTCAAATTTCCATCTGTCTAGATGGTTCTCTACTAGGGAACCTAATAAGCAAAGACATTTAAATACCTTCATCTTCAAAACAGTTAAGATGTTCTCCAGTACGCATTTGTAAAGCCAAAAAAAAAAAAAATACAAAACCCCACAAAAACAAACAAACAAGCAAAAAAAAAAAAAAAAAAAAAAAGCAAAAAAAAAGAACCCACCAAGTATTATCTTTATTAGAGTTTTTAATGTATTTAAGAATTTACCACTGATCCTGCTGTATCTGAAAATATTTAAGAAACTTAAAAAATATTTCTTTAACATTAGTATAAGTTCTCCTAATATTTCTGGTTGAAATGGATATAGAATAAATACAGCTCTGTATTTTTGCAAAAAAAGGACTGTTATGAGCATAAATATATGTATTAAGAACTTCTTTCCATGCCTATGAGTACAACTGATGAAATATAACTCTCAGTCACCCTAATGGCTATATTAAATCATTCAAGCGCACAACTTCTCACAAAAGATTCTCTTTCTCCACACTCCCACCATATTTGATATTTCCCCTTCTTTAAACAGGCTGCTGTAAGCAACAACAAAAAATATCTAACTGGCACTAGCACAAGCTTAACACAGAGCAAATAAAGTTTATACAAAATTGCGACTAAAGGGAAAATGTTCAAGTAAAGGCACAGTCTCAACATTCATCCTCACCAAAAATGTCTAACAGCTATCGGATCCCCCTTCTCAGCAGCCACCCTCCTACCTCCAAACAAATGCCTGCTATTTAAACTGCGCTACATTTTGTAATTCCCCAGAGCCAATGAGGAGGAATGGCTGACAGTAAACAGGACAAGGGAAGCCTGCATACATCAGCAAACTCCTCCAGCCAAAATCAACTGGCAGGACTACATAGGCATGACTGCCCTACAGGACATTCTAGCATCCACCTGGCTGTCTAGAAGGCAATAAAAAGACAGGAGCTGCTGGGGATACCAGTCTTGCCACATACATCGAGCCAAAACTATGGAATGCTGCCTACTACAAGAACTCCATCTCTGCAAGGACTCCGTGGTGTGCCCAGCCTGTGGCTTGGCCCCATACAGCAGCTATGAGTTGAAGACAATGGAGTCAATCCTCAACAAGAATCCTGGCTCTACAAGGGACCAATGCAAGTGTAACATGGTTAGCATATGTATGCATGTGTGTGTGAGGTACTGAGTGCTTTCCCCCAGATTCTGCACACTTCCCTTCTCTACTTTAATCAATTAGCCTCAATAAAACCAAACTGAATATAGCTTGTACTTGACTAGTTACTTCTTAAGGCAATAAATGTTGTTTGCTTCCATAGTCCTCATATGTCTCCTCAGGCTCGGTGCTATTCAGGAAACAGTTGAGGAAACAGCCACATTTAAACTGACACTATCCAATAGATGAAAAATAGAAGGATGAAGACTTTTTCCACTAGTTTTTAAAAATCAGTTTCATAGGAGATGCTAACTGGTTCTTATTTACTCTTCCTTTCATTTATATCTTCAATCCTAACAGATCCTGTTTTCTTATTCCCTTACTGGAAGGATTCAGTAGTGTTCAGTGGAATGATTTAAAAACAAAATGTTGGGAGATGAAAGAGAACAGGCAAACATTACTTTTTATGCACAGAGGTGACTGCCTAGAAAAAATTCTAAGTAATTCTTTAGAAGCTTTTATGCAAAAGAATTTTGAAACCTGCCAGAGTCCTGAAGATTTTGAAACATTCAAAACACAAGCACTCTTTGATTTCAGAAATAAGTAATAAATATTAATATTTTCATGACAGTACCATCATTCTGCTGTGCTACAAAGTGAAATCCTTTATCTTTACTCTAATTCAGTACTCTAATTCAGTTACATCATAACAATTTATTAATTTCAAAATAACCTTATTTTCCTCTCTATATAAAATACAGCATATTAAATGCACACATACACCCCTCTCAGGCTTTCACAGAGTATAGTTTCTAGCAAAATTAAGGCTCAAATAAACACAGTGAAGGCATTCCAGTTGAGTGCTCGGTTTTTTTGCTCACAACATTGCTTATTTACTAAAGTGATACGCAGAACGCCTTTACAAGATGAAATCAACTATACGCTAAGGAACTCATAAAGCAACTTACACAAGGAATGAGAGGAATCAAATTGCATACAGTCAGGAAAGGTTGATTAAAGAAGAAAAAAGGATTTGTTGCAGTACAGATTATTAACAGCCAGATAACTAGTTGCAAAGCAACATGATTCCACCTTGTATCTACTTGCTCACAAGCACCATGACAACAGTGCCAAATTCATCTGCCCAAGACTTGTGCCTAAGACAGAAGACAGGTGATTTCAGCTTGTACATCCTTGCTCTGCCTTCTGAGTTGATAGGATTCTCCGACACAAACTGCTTATTTAGACATTTTACTATCAATAGCTATTAAGTCATCCTGCTCATCAGCCCATCATTCTGCATGCCTTTGGGGCTGCAGTTTCTCATTCCATTAGGATGAAAGGAGAGGCAAATACAATTTGGTTTAATCTTGCTGTTGCTTCTCATTATGAAAGCACAGATTGAATCAATTGGCTGTGGAACCTTAGTATCACCTTAGTATTAGTTGAGGTTGGAAGGGAGCCTTCTACTCAGGCAGGGACACCCAGGGCAGGATGCCCAGGCCATATCCAAGCAGCTTTTTAAGATCCTCATGGAAGAGGATCCACAGATTCCCTGCTCAACTTCTGCTTCATCGTCTTCATACTAAGAAGTGTTTCCTTGTGTTCAGACACAGCTCATCATTTGAGTGCTGGCTTTGTGGTCTTTATGTAAACCAGATATTCCACAACGTTTATTAGCTTTACTGCAGTTAGCAATGTCCTTGGTTATCAATACAGGTACTCTTACCATTCCTCCATGCTCTCTTATGGTGCTTCAACACATCTATTTTCATTCACATTCGTATCACTCTCAATAGTTCTGTTACTAAACTCTACATATTGAGACTGAAAAGCTGCAGATTCATCAGCTATTCACACACCTCCTTTTGGACCTTTTACTGTGATTAATGTATACCAGCTTTTTATTATGCAGACTGCTGACATGGAAGAATGAATTATGAATGAGCTCACCCTAGTCTAGCTCATCTTAGATTATGTAAACAATGGATATTATTTTATGTAAGGAATTGGTTACGGACTGTCACACTAAAATGACCACTGCTCTGTATAAAAGCAGAACATTTTATTTTCATTTTAAAGCAGGGTAAAACATAATTTGCTGTTGTAAAAGGATTTGCACATACTGCATAGGAGATATTAAAACTGGCATGGAACAGCGTTTAGAACAGATATTATGTTTCTGTTCAGAAAACATCAATTAGGTGTTTTCTGAAACAGAAATAACTGGATATTCCAACAGCTTAAAAATACTCAATACATCATTTTGAAAACTGTGTGTTTAGAAAGAGAAAGATATTTAAATTACTATTATTACTACTTTAGGAAAGAATTGTATGAAAATATGATGAAGTCATAAGCCTGAAATAGAAGCAAATATTCTACACTGAGACCTGAAGCAGAGTTCAATACTCAGTCAAAGTAACAATAAGGAAGCAAAGCACATTTCTCAGAGCTTTTGGCTTCCTCTATTTCAGGCAAAAGGACATTAACATGTTTTTTTCTTTTCTGAGCATTGAGAACTCTAAGTATTAGCAGCTTTCTTATTAGTTGGCTTATCAAATTTACTTTGCTCCTTGGTGACTGCATTTTTCATTTGTTCTGTAAGTCTTTTGTTGTTCTTTCTTTTCAAGCATGTATGTTTTTCTCTCCTCTCACCACTAATACAGCTCAGAAGGAGAACACAAATAAAATATGATACCATATTATATCAGAGACAGACTAGTTACAGTCATTCTACTTGATGATGATCAAAAATTATGACAGGAAAAGGGGAGGAGAACACAGCGTAGATTATATCCATCTTTTTACTGTTTCTACATCATTTCTGGGATACACACAAAGGCATTATTTTTTTCTGCTCAATTTTAGCAGTTTTTCAAAAGCTGTACATGTTCTCATGGTTCTTCATGTTAAATACCTTGCTCACTCTCAGCCTCAGCACCTGTTTGGACATGTATTTTCCAATGCCTGGAGCTCTAAGCCATAAAGCGGTGTTTAAAAATTTAATTCTAGTCAGTGTAGAATGTTTCATAACATGGAACTCCGTATTTCTGTACTTAAAAGTAAAATGATTCCTCCCCTCTGTTTCATCTAAAAATCTATTAAAGCGCATTAAAAGAAAGTTAAATATCTACTTTTTTACTTCACCTTAGAGGTGTCAAATCTTCTAAGTATTTCTAGCAGCTTTACAACTTGTATTCTTGTATCTTCTTCACAGAAGAAAATCCATGAGGAGTTCCTACCGTAGGCAACAGAGAAACTAACAAAAGAAATTGTCATTTACTATGCTTTACTGGCTTATGAATAGAATGATAGATTCAATCCCCATTCCTCAAATATAAGTACTTTGCAATTAAATATTCATTTACACACACATAACTGTTACTATTAACGTAGAATTACATACCTGAACACTGCAGTGAATGGATAAAGATACTGCCTCTGCTGCTACCTATTTTTATAGCACTAGTTATTATAGAAAGAAAGGAACAGACATACATAAAGAATATCTACTCAAAAAAACAACAAAAAAAAAGAAGTATATGTACTACTAGTATAGCCATCTATGAATTCAGAAGCATGTACACAGCAGTTCCAATTACCATCCCCTCTGTGCCTCAGCTATCTGCCAAGGAGCCTTGCTATTGGGCATCTAACACTGCAACAAACCTGAAACTGCCTAATGACATCCTTTGTCATGACAGCTTGATATGATCATAACTGTCCCCAACTTAAGACATTCATTAGCTCTTTTAATACAGTTGTACTACACAGATTGAAGGGATTCTCCACCTTCCTCAAAGCCAACACCAATCTTGATACTGATTTCCTTACTCCTTCAGGAAATTCTCATCTTTTATCTGCTATCCTATTTGAATTCTTCCACAATTTAACAAAAACTACCTTTCTTCTGTGTCTTGCAATGCTATTCACTGCTTTCTGTTTATGATACTCAATTTGCTTAACTATAATAATTAGAAGAACACATGATTCGTTTATCCTTTCAGTTTGCAAAAGCATATAATTGTCTTCTCACCACTGAAGTCCAGGGCAACGCTGTCATTCAGGCAACAAATAAATTATCATCAGCTGGGAAAGCCTATTTAATTCAGCATTTCCAAGGGATTCCTTGTAAAACACGCCACACAAGTACCTGAATGAGCATCTGATACCGTCATATTCTTAAATGTGCACAGTACTCAGTGCCCAGTAAAGACTGAAGGCTTTGATGCACAGATAGAACTTGCAAAATGGGTTGACCCCCTTGAATCTCTCCTCTTTCTCTTCTTTACGTCAAAAAAATCTAGGTGTTATTAGCCACAAAACACAAACGTATTTCTCATATGTGTTTGTTCTATCAACAATGGTATAAGAAACAGACACAATAAACTTGATATTCCAGAATTCTCTTTAAGATGAAAATTCTCCAATTAATATTCTTTTTCTGATTCCTGATGAAATTTCTTTTACTTTATCACACAGAAGAGTATCTGTATTTTTGCTTTTAGGTTTTGCTCTCTTCTAAGAGCTATATGCATAAACTTTTGCACTGGGACATCATTCAAAAGAAGAGACATTAGGTCACTGAAAGAAGAGCTAAGAAAGGGAAAAAAAACAGATGATATAATTGGAACACCATCTTCCAGTTTTTCAATTTACTTCAATTCTCCTTCTGCACCTTTATGTACACAATTTATGTATACATTAAACATGGCCACTACATAATCACCATTTTCATATTTCTGCAATAAAGAAAGCAATGGAAAGCAGAAAAGAGAAGGGTGTGAAAATCCTGTCCTGTTAGCAATCTGATGCAATAAAGGCACATCAGAGGAACAATAATATTAACTAAAGTAAACCTCAGGAGGCTGCAGAGCCACTGACATTGCTTTTAAAGGCAAATTTTAAGCAAGGTTTAAATTTTCCTAACTGCTCAGTTTTTAGTACCCTGAAGCTTTAGAACTTTCAGAAATAAAAGTCATTGCTTCCTGACTATTTGCAGCTTCCTACCACATAAATGCAGCAAGTCTTCCTCAGAGCAATTTGCATACGCTAAGAAAAGATATTTGAAATTCTGTCCTCAACCATACTAAGATGAAAAAAAGCTTCTAAAAATACATTAAAACCTACATCTTTCCTCTGCAGACGAGTCTTACCTCTTAGGAACACAGTGAGCAACAAAAGATACAAACTAAATACAGATATTATTTATTACCTTTTTTTTCCTTTTTTTTTTTAATCCTCTTCATTCAGTCAAGTACTGAAAAGTCTAAGGTTCTGAAATACTTCTCACAGACCTTACACTGTGAGCAAATAGGAAAATATACACATTTTAAAATGGTTTTCTGTTGACTACTTTATTTTTCTAATAATTTTAAAACCCATACCTATTTGAGGCAGGTAGTTGTTCAGTTACATTATATTATTTCTTTGGTTGCTTGTATTATGTCTATAACATACTCCTTTGATTTAATGAAGCTTAACAGTAAATTGCTTTGGAAAAAAAAAAAAAGAAGAGCAAGCAAGTGAAAAGAGAAGTTAGCAGCTCTGATCTAAAAACTGTTGTTTTTGAAAAAAAAATCTTAAAAATATCTGAAAATAACCAGCATTGATTACACTTACTCTCTCATTAGTGGTAATATGGTCCATGCACCTTCATGCCTGTCCATCTGATGAATAAGCAGCACAGTTGGTAATTCCTTTAACGAAAATAAAAATACTCTTGTTAAACATAAATAATATACACTTCTTTTTCCTAAGCACCAATTAATCTTAAAATAATAGTAATAATAATAATAATAAAAAAAAAAACTATTCTGGATTGCCTACTGGGTTCTTCATTACTTTTACCAGCATGCGGGCCCGCAGAATAAATGACTTCCAGTGTTTTGAAACAAGGTGACCTAAATGCTTCTTACAACTCATGATTTCCTAATTCTCTATTAGATACTAAGCTAATACACTAGAAGTAAAATATTTTGCACAGACCCCATGTAATCAATTAAGGAACACATCATGCTCATCTCCTTATCATAAAACATCATGCTTTGAAGGGAATACCTAGAGGCTTGAAATAAAGTGCAGAACACTTATGCCCAAATGTCACCTGTGGTATCAGCACACTGAGGGCTGCAAGAGCTGCCACACACTACAGCTGCAAGAGCTAAATAAAAACTAAGCAATGCATGACTAAAGGAGTCAGGTCTCCAACCAATTCAAAAGCACTGACACAGCCTCCTGCTTTAAAATCATGTATGACGTAAAATCACAGTATAAAATGCATCTTTAAAATAATTTAGTACTGCTTACACAAGTTACAGTAACAGGGATGCCAGTGACATGCTCAGTTTTCACAGTAAATCAGCAAGAGAGCTGGAAACATAAATTCTGATTCTTGAATCTAAAAATTAAAAGTCATCCTCATCTCTACTTCTGTTCCATGCTCAGATGCCTGATTACCATTTTGAAAAAGCACCAGGCTTGCTTCAGACTTTATAAGCCATTTCAAAGGGTTCAGGAAAAGGCCACAGCAGTACTCAGTTTTCATAAATCAAGAGGAAAATGATGTGTATGCATCTGCCTTCAGATGGTCTTATATTAAAGGAAAGATGGAAGCATTTAGCCAATCACAAGAAGGTACCAATTGCAAATTAAAGCAAAGTGCTTCTGACTATAACTTGAGGTGCAAGGCACAGAGAAGAAGAAATTTCAATGAAACAGAAAGTAATGTTATTCCTTTTCCTATTGTATATTATATTGCAGTCCTCAAAACACAACTTTGCTGCCAGCCAAGTGCACTTAAATGTACAACCAAAGCACTGATTCCTGAGTGCTACATCCAGCTACTCAGTGTCTGGGAAAACAGATGCAATAAATATTTGTATCTGAAAACACATTTTAGGCAGTTTATTGCATAAGGACTTATTTTACATCTAGTTTGTCATCAAAATAAAGATTTCTGCAACAATATATTTATCTGAAGGAACAATAATCATCACTGCAAGCTTTTCACGTGGTAAAGATGATGGTAGCCATTGCTTTTTTTTATTTTATTTTAAAAAGCCATTCTTCAACAGTAACTGGAGTAAATTTCAGCATGCTTATTACAAGGTTGGAAATTGTTTGCATGCTAGAGTTCCAGCAATAGAAAATTAATAAGAAGTCTGCTGAGGTTTTTGTGATTTAAAAAGAATTTACTTGATTCAGTAGTCATCAAGTTTTGTTTCATTTGCCTTATGGTCACAACACTACAATATTTCCCTCAAATGCTAGTACAGACAGGTTTCCTGCAGCAAACTGAAAAACAGTCACTCAAACACTCACTTATAAACTCAGTAGAGTTTATAAATATGTCTATGTTTTCCTCTACCATGAAATGTGTTGACATCAACATGTTTCCAATCTTGTAGATGAAAACTTGAATATCATTATTCAGACTACCAGGACATGAGAAGACTCACAAAAACCACTGAAACCAGGGGAGGATATATATATATATATATCACATATATACATATACACGTAAATAAAAAATCAAATATATATAAAAATATATATATAATATACATAATATAAAAATATAAAATATAAAATACACATATATAAAATCAAAGTTCAACACATTTGCCTATCAATCTACAATCCACAAAAAGAAGGCTATAAACATAAACCATTTCTAACTTAATAGATTTTTATACTAGACTGGGCTTCACGTTTCAAAGATCAAAAGGAAGTCTGGAGTCTTCCATTAGCACTTGCTAGCAGAGGTGGTAACTGACTTTTTGAACTGGACAATATAAAAAGCTAATTAACTTCATTCTTGTAATTACTGAGTTTTGAACAATATTCAGAGGTCTTGCCCCCACGTTCAAATGAGTATGGTAATTCTTACAAAAAAAAGACATATTTACTAGAAGAACTATAAGAAACATTCTAAGAATGAATGTGACAGGTACATTTTGTGACAGTGAAGGGTTTACTTCACATAAATCCTTACAGCTGGAAGAAAGCCATTCATAGGAAGGAAATGGATCTATATGCTAACACTTTACCAAACCATAAAACAATTGATCTAATAACACTGGGAAATAAAATAATTTGAAGAGATGTATAAAACAGATCTGTTCTAATAAAAACAAGATTCATGTTGATATTGAGGAAAACCTACCCATAAGGACAAATTTTTCTACCAGGCAGGACTGAATGTAATACAACACTTCACTTAAACATAATCCATTAAACCTCATTAAAACTACAAGATCCCAAAAGACTGACTAGTCTCAGCTGGAATAAGCTTCCATGGGATGGGAAGCCATTAAGAAGGGAGAGCAGAGCAAAGCTTTTCAGAATAGAACCTAAAATTTGAGCAAGAAATCTGTATGTTGAAACAACAGAGGCAATACAGATTACACTGCATTGATGGTATTTATTTTAAAAGGTCTCAAGCAAATTAAGACTATATTCTTCTAAATATGCTGATTTTCTAAATGTACAGATTAAACAACTAAGTTGCAATGATCAGGAATTACGTCCATTAGATTTTATAACCACAGATTTATTATGCTTTATAGAGAAGTAAAACACTGAATAGTTCAGACCTACTTCAATACTCAACAATCATTCAAATATTCTAGCTGTAGAGTTTGACAGCGGTCTGTAGGAAAGTATGCCTGTTCATTTGTGGAACACATTTAACAAGGAATAAAATGTGGAAAGTACTAACACAGCACAAAGCAAATGGAAATAACTCTGAAAACTGTTTCCATGTTGTAGTATTTAGAATTTCTTTCAGGTGAGATACAGATGTCCAAACTCATAGTGTATTGCAGAACAGAGAAATATTTAAGGACATTTTTGGACAACACAGCTTCACTTAGCTTCTCCCAAGAATCTGAAAACAGATGTGGAAGTAGAGTTAGTGAGAACTTTAGAAAATATTAATCCACCCATAAAAGGGCTGCATGTCCCACTGGTAAATTAAGAAACATAGAAAAAATATCCTCTATAAAACCCCTGAAAATTGTTTCCTGCAGATGACCAAAGCATGAGCAAGAACAATTTAGAGACAGATCATTTCAGACAGGAATATGGTGAATACACATTAAAATTCAAGCAAGCTATTCAGTCTCTTTTCCTCCCCTTCCTCAACACTTAAGCAAGGAAATATTTCAGTGCATTGAAACAGTGCAATGCTGTTGCAGTATAGCCTAGGCAATTAAAAGCAGCAGATTCTTAAAGCAGTTAAAGCCATACTCAACAGCAATTGGCAAATCAACAACAGATATTGCAGCCACGATTCAAAGGCACAGTAAAGCTGAGATAGGCACCAAGAGGCTTCACCATGTTATAGAGGCAGATGCTACAAACAGATATGGTCAAAGAAAGCTGGAAACAAAAATAGAACCTTCTGGAAGCACAAACCTGTCAGATAACAAAGAAATTGAACTTCTGATGTGCAGACCAATGCTACAGGCCAGCTGGCATCTGATTATACATTGAATAATAGATAATAAATAAACAAGAACACAACAATAGGATGTTCCAAACATTTGTCACCTGTTCTTATCCTAGCCAAAGCACTTAAAGACTCTGAAATGGAAACAAGTAGATGGATGAAGAGACAATATGAACAAAAATTCAGTGAAGACATAAGTGACACAGGCATCACCTCAAGCAGTGTGGAGGTGTTCTATGTACACTTCCACATTTATGCATGCACTTGTACCACTTAAACTGATATTAATAATCTCTACAGTGGTAGTTGAACTCAGAAACAGGCAGGTAACCTACAACAGGTTGCACAGATATGTGTTTAAAAGAACCAGTCAAAATCTGAAACATTTCTATGAAATGGTACAAAATACATGATTTTGCTCAAGTCTAGCAAATCTAATGGTTAAAGCAAGTCTAATGGTAAAAATACTGCATGCTTCTGTAAAGCAGTTTATACATCCCATCATCCATTGCTGATATGAAAGTAAGTGCTATTCATTTTTACTTTTCAATACTATACAGCATTGTTCTCAAAATCTTTTTCTTACATTCTTGTTTTTCACATTCCTGGTGAGGCCACATCTGGAGTATTGTGTCCAGTTCTGGGCTCCCCGGTTTAAAAAAGACAGGGATCTCCAAGAAGGAGTCCAGTGGAGGGTCACAAACATTATAAAGGGCCTGGAGCATCTCCCGTGTGAGGAAAGGCTGAGTAACCTGGGTCTGTTCATCCTTGGGAAAAGAAGTCTGAGGGGAGACAGGGGAGATCTGATTAATGTTTATAAATATCTAAAAGGAGGTGGGAGGCAAATGGATGAGGCCAGGATCTTCTCAGTGGTGTGTAGTGAGAAGACAAGGAGCAATGGCCTAAAACTTGAACATAGGAAGTTCTGTACCAACATGGGAAGAATTCTTTACAGTAAGGATGATGGAGCACTGGAACAGGCTGCCCAGAGAGGCTGTGGGGTCTCCTTCTAAGGAGATGTTCAAGACCTGCCTGGATGCCCACCTGTGCAACCTATAGCAGGGTGCTTGCTTTAGCAGGGGGGTTGGACTCGATGATCTCCAGAGGTCCCTTCCAACCCCTGCAATTCTGTGATGTTGCTGCTCTACAGTGCTACACAGTGCTACAGATGTGCAATAAAATTCTAACAGAATCTACATCACAGCATCTTCATTTGCTCTTAGTAAAATGATGTGCTTACCTAAAAATTATTCCAAGTATTGTTAAAGTGATTATGTTGTTCACTTCGTAAAGAAAGCACCTTATCTTTTTTAAATTAAAAACCAATTTTAATTAATTTTGATTAAATTTATTATTAATTTTAATACCAAAAATATTTTAATTAATTTTACTTAAAAACAAAAGATTACACTTTTACAGTAATACAGGTAAACCTCAACACTTTTTTAATCACTTCTATATCAAATGCCATTCAAACCTAAAAAGTTATTCTACAAAAATGTATAGTTCAAATTAAAATTATTTAGTGATAAATTATGGTATTAAATCAGTGAATAATCATTGAAACAGTTTTTATACAAGCATACAGAAGACAATAAAAGGAATACAGTAGGTCAGAAAAGGGTGAAATATAAAAGCTTTTCTTTCTTTCTTTTACTAATACACAGAAGAAACATACATAACAAAATACAATCTGTATAATCTAAACGTACCTTTCCAAGATCTGCAGTCTGTTTTAAAATATCTCTTTTTAGATCTTCTGCTCTTTTGGAATGAAAGGAATTGCTTTGACTCTGGATGACAAAGATAACTTCTTTTAATTCTGTGAACCAGAAAATAAAAAGATTTCAAGACAAAAGTAGTTATTTTCAGTTTTGTTCCCAGGGGACTGAAAACCCAGGTATGTGTGGGGGAATTTATTATAAAGGAAGCAATTTCTTTAGTTACACAAATATTTCATGAAACAGTAAAAAGGCATCATTTAACACACACACAAATCTAAAACAGTCCCTTTAAAAGATTAACTTATAAAAGCATGACATGAGGATGAGATCTGAAGCAACAAAGAAACTTAAGCACACAATAATATTAGCCATGTTAGACCTATGACAGCACAAAGTTGTCAGTTAAATGTTTTTCTGCTTTTCCTCAGCATCTTTTCCACTCCATTTATTAATTTATTTTCCAAGATAAACACTGAAAGTATAAAATTGTGCAGACATCATAAGCACTGACATACAGCTACGCTTGGATTTCAGGTTTTTTTTGCCCGTGTAGCATTCCCTCATACTCTGATTCACTCTATAAACTACTTAAAAAAACCTTCACAATAAAATCATATGAATACCAACTACTGACTAACTGGCACTAAATCTACTAAATTACCTATGCAGAAATTAAAATCAGTGCAAAAGTTAAAATTACACTTAATTGATGCTACTGAGTGCCAAAGGGTTAAATCTACATGTAGAACATTAAGAATATCCCAGAGACAAAAAGCAACAACTAGACAGTATACAATTACTGCTGTAGTATCAGAACACTTACAGATATGCAAACAGCTGAATTACCTTCAGTTTCACTTACAGTGCATTCAACAGCTGTAATATCCCACAGCAGAATTCTAAGAGTAATCTAACACCCAATTTTGGATTAGTGCTTGAAACCCACAGAAATAGTTTCCTCTCTACAGACACTTTAAAATAGTTTCTAAGAGGAAATATATACGGTATTAAAGTATCAGTGGAAAGCATGTATAATTTAAAACTGTTCATCGTACACATAAATTGTTTCTCAGGTTGAGAAGTAGTCAACCAAGCAAAACAAAGAGCAGAGTCTTTTGGAAGACTAGTAACCAGCAGTCTCTGATGCACTAGGTTTATTTCATTGTCTTCTTCTTTTGTTTTCCTAAGGCTTTTCCACATCCGGAAAATATCTTTGATGATCTCAAATGCTCTCTGATTGGAAAAGCAAGACGAGTTCACAGAGGAAAAAAAAAAACGAAATTAGGAAGCAGGAAGGTTGAAACCTTCTGTGTCTTAATATAGCTATATCTCATTGCTGAGTGGAATGGAGTGTTAGCGAGCTTTTAACAACCCGTTGTCAGCAATGTGCACTTTAGAGTATGCACTGACTCTGTGCAACACAGAATCATAGAATTCTTAGAGTTGGAAGGGACCTCTGAGGGCCATCTAGTCCAACTCCCCTGCAGTGAACGGGACGCCCGTTCCAACACTCAAGTTAAATGCTGCCTTGAGTTCCCAAAGAAACTGAAGTCAGTACAGTAGTTCCAATCAACTTGCTGCTTACCCAATGATCTTTCCACTCCGCTGTCTTGACCCTATACTGTAATTAGCTCCACTGATTTTCAATACTAATGCCATCTACTTTATTGAAACAATGATACGTATTCAATAAATGTGCTCAATTATCTACTCTGTCCATACACACCAACAAAATGTTATGTTCTCAGAAATCATGATGTATATTATACTCATGCAACTGCAAAATTTTCAGCAAGAAGTGTTACTCCCAGGATCCAACCATCACATTTCAGCATATGACAGATGAGTAATTGCTACACTTACTTAAAATAATCTTACCTCCAGAACAGACTTGCTTTTGTTATTCAGATACACTAAAAACCGAAAATAGTGCTGGTCAGCTATGTAGGCTATCACTTGGGGTCAAACGTACCCACCATTAAAGTACCTATATGCCCATCTGATGGGCAGAACTTTTTGCCAAGGTGTGGCAATGGTGATGCAACACTGGCAGTGGTCTTATGGTTGGGCTGTAACACATCTGTGCAAGAAGCTCACTGAGCACCAGCCCATCCTGAAAGCGGCATCACATGCTGACCATGAGAACACAAAGTTCAACCATACACACACTTGTCTTCTCAGTGACTGAAACATCAGTATTTCGATACTTGTCTTCCGAGTCTAGGCTAAGGACATTTCCAAAGACCTTTAACATCTCTGAAAGGAAGACTACAGATAGTAACTTTGCTTTCTTGTCACAAAAGATACAGCTTATTTATAAGAAAACAGAATTTTCTTGTGTAACAGTTTGAAAAAGATGAATGAAAAATCACAGGAACTAAGAACCATCAAGAAAAAAAAACACTGTCCCAAGTCCTTTTATTTTACAGTATCCACAGAACTGCTTGACAACATACAAATTAGAAAAAAACTTTTCTTAGGAAGAGGTAGGGTCTCCATTTAAAAAAGATAGAGAACACAGGTAATGATGCATCAAGTCCATCAAGTCCAGCTTATTGTCTTCAACAGCAGTGATAAGAAACATGGTGTGGGAAGAGTGCACAATCTTCACTTACACAGTGCTGCTCGTACCCTACCAGCATGCACAACTACTGCATTAGGAAATGCTGGAAGATAAATAACTGGCTGCTTCTCTTTCCATCTCTTTACAGATTTGTCCTTAATTGAAACTACCAGTATTGTCTGCTTCCACAACCTACTGTTGCAACACATACCTAAAATTTGTTACCTAACACATAAAAGGATTTAATTATTTTCCATGTAGTTATCTGCACTAGGGACACCGCTTGGAATCAAATCCAAAGAAGTCCAACACAGAACCAACCAACCAAAAAACCCAAGACTTCTCAGTACCATTAAGAGTTCTATTACCAACTCCAGTACAAGCATGATAAATGTTCCTGGTGGTCATCTTTGATGTCAGAATGAACTCCCAAATTCTCAGAAGCTGCTACAACAGAAACATGGTCAAACTGCCTCTTTTTAGAACAAGATCAACTAGGCGCTCAACCTTGCATGAGTGAGAAGTACCACTGCAGTTCAAATTTATTTCACTATTCAGAATGCTGTTAGTGTTTGACATCTTTCTTTAAAACTTGCTTCTGGTTGTAACAAGTAATTTGTAGTGGTTCCAGTTACTACAATTACCATGAGAACCTGGCAGATTTCATAGCACTCAGTTTCGTATCACATTTTTAGCATGAAAATTGATTTTAAAAAACCTGTGTACTACACAAAGTTATGCATTAATTTCATAGTGCAAGTGCACATTTTGAGAAAATAAACTTAACTGCACTAAAATTTCAAATACAAATGCAGATCAAGAAGCATATGTTTGATGAGGCTGTGCAAGCAAGGAAAAACATATTTGGGAATCAGCAACTCACTAATAATGCTGTTGAGCATTTAGTCACTGTTTCACAGTTACTTTTCAAAGCATGGCTGTATTTTATTTATTTTATTTATACAAAAAAGACAACCACGTTAAAAACAGACTGAAAAAACAAATGGGATGCGTGAACTTCAGTACTGGCTTAGAACAAGTTTGCACAAAACAATTTTACTTACCCTTGTTCCTTTTACTCACTGTTCCACGTTTTTCAGACTTCTAGAAGGGGAAAAGCAGAAAAAAATAGTGAGAACTCTTATCCATGACTCAGTTTATATTGGAGCTTTTAACACTAACAATTTCAGCTTTTTTTTTTAATGTGTATATATATACACATTAAATAATATGTGTATACACATAATTATATGTGCATATATATATCCTTTGTGATCACAGCACAAAGTTTGGAATAAGAAACTGTACAATATATACATGCATGTATAAAAAAACACTTCTACTCATGTGTGATGCACTATCAAACATCCATCAAAGCATCACTCTTAAGAAAAATCCAAACAGCAATTTATGTCAAAACAGTAAACATGAAAAGGTTGGGATTTACTCAGGTCAGGCATTACATACTGGTCCATTTGTCACGCAATTTTAATAGTGTTTAAGGACTGGCAACATTGGCATTGCCCTTGTATCAGAAAATGGGAAACAAAGACATAAAAAAATATCTCTAGAGTACATTGAGCTGCTTCTCAGTAACAGACACTGGGTGGAAACGTATTGTTTAAGAACTGATGACTGGGGGACAGATATCAGAGTAGAGAAATAGCTTTACACTTCCTACAGAAATTGTAGGAAGGAGAGTCTCCTTTTATTGCCTTCCTGTGCCTTCCTGCTAGCACCTCAGTTCTTCTGTTTGTCTGAATGTGAAACCAAAATTGTCTTTATTAATTGCATAAGGATGTTCTTAAGATTTATCTTAGTTCAAGTGTTTTGACTCCTTCACATAGAGAAATATTGTACTTAGCACTCTCCAGGAGAAAGCCTTAATAAAGTTTTCCTATCCTTGTGACAATTACTGTTTAGAAGCTTGTTTTTTCTCCTTTTTTTTTTTTTAATGCCAATCCATTTAACCCTTTCAGTTCTGCTTGCATCAGGTGATTTTTCCTTTGTCCAGATCTGATTTTACACTGAGATATATAATCAAAAAAGCAACTACATACACATTGTAATCTATGAGCAGAGCAGTAACTAAGGTAACATACAAACCAAAGTAAATTTCTCAGATTACCTTCCAGAAAAGACACAGGAGAAAAAAACAAAAAAAAATTGCTTCCTCAGCAACAGACAGCAACAGAATCCAGGCCAGAGCAAACTGAAAGTCTGGTCATCTCTGGAAGCCATGAGGTAAACTTACTATACATAGGACTTACACACATTCCACTCTGAAATAAAAAAGTAACCATCCAATCCCTTGCCATTGGGTTCAGAAAGGCCTTTCATTCTAAGCACAGAAATCTATGTATTCAAATGAGTCAGCATTAAAATAATTAATTACATAAATTTATATGCCAGACACACATTAGACACCAAACGCTACTGAAAAACCCTAAGCATCCTCCTTAACATTTTATGCAAGTGGTAATTACACCTTAATGTTGAATTGAGGCAACCAGTAGAAATCCAAGTCACTTTCACAATTCTCACCCTTCCAGATACGTTTTCCCTAGTATGCAGCTCCTCTCAAACTGGAATGAGACAGCATTGGCATTTTACAGAAACATGTAAGTAATGAAAACAGGATTACGTTATCCAGGCTCCCAGATATATGATAGCAGATCATGAATTTGCAATGGGGATCTTTTTAAGTCATGTAAACTACTGTAGATTCAGCAATCATCTTTAAGAGCAAATTTAAAAACACATCTACTTCTATTGCATTTGATGCAAGATCAAATTTAGATCAAACCTAGATTTAAATGGCTTTTCTAGATTCTAACTTTTTATTAGTTCCACTATTTCTGATTTTTCCTCTTTAAATCTTGCTTATGTATACACACATCTGCTCAAATGTACACATGTGCATATGTGTATTTTATACATATAAAAACTTGTATGTAGAAGCTTGTTAAAGGAATTCATGCACACACAATTCCCCTTATGCTCTTCAACTGAACAGTAGGACTACTTCTGACTATCCATTCTTCTAATCTATTAATCTAAAATTTCATATGCAAGCTTTACTTGAGATGCAATATGGGTAGCAAAAAGTCATTCAGCCAACTGGACAGCCATATTCCTTTCATTGCACAGCATATTTAACAAAAATGGAGAAGGAAGGAAAACCATCTCTGAAGTAATAACAGTTACGTGTTCAAACTGATTCTAGTTAGATGTAACAGCACAATCTGCCTGTAGAAGCTTCACAAAACAGCAAAGTTTGGTTGGATGTTTTTTTTTTTTACCTATAATTTTCTAATGGACTCCTCTGCTGATCTTGGAAAAACAAAATAACTTTTCTCAATTATTATTCTGTTCCACATCATCACAAAAAAAAAAAAAAAACCTAATTATCTTAACAAAAATGTCAACATAAATCAGAAAATGCAATGTAAGGAAGAATCAAAGGTGGTAAGTTTATTCCAGTAGTACTGAGAGTCCATGAGATAAGATGCTAGCAATGCTGGAAGACCAGTGTAACATACAGTGTGTGTCCCACAAAAGGTATCTTAAGAAGTCTGACACACCAGAAGGATGTCAAGCAGCAGTTCATATCACTGAAGTCACTGATCAAACTAATCCATGGATGTAAACTTGCTCTACACATTTATAGATGAATTTATAATGGCTGTAATATGTTTCTGCTTTGGCAATTAAAATTTATTACCTGCAGCACTGGTACTTCAGCTTTATCTTCTGCATCTTCAAGAACTGCACTTAAAGCAAAACCTGAAAGAAAAAGCAGACATTTTTTTTCAAATTATAGGAGCTTGTTTTCATACGTGACAAAGCTCTGAAGCAAAATTATTATTATTATTATTATTTTTTACATTAAATGATACAATTTTGATGATAACCTTAATGAATATTCTGTAAGAATCTGTGTTTTTAATACCTGGCAATTCTATTCCTATGCATCGCTAGGAAAAGAAGTCACTCTGATGTGAAGCCAATTTATCTTGGTTAGGTAAATCCCATACAAAAAAAAGAAAAAACACATCTGTTCAGTCATTCATTCACCTAACACCAGCATAATGTGCTGTCACATGGAGGAATCTGTAATCCTCTCTGTCTTTAGGCTGAAGTTCAGATTATCAAAATGGAATCACAGATACGATATCACTGAGGTAAAACTGTGTCAAATTTGAAGATGGTTATTTTGCATCTTGAATGCTCTCTCTGAACAAGTTCAGCTGCTGATGTCTCAAGATCCAAACAAATATTTAAGAGACCCGAAAGAGCTAATTTACACCAACCTAGTATCATCTAAAATCTTTCATACTGACACCACCCTGTGCATATATTTTTGGATTGCATTAGACAAAAAATCATAAGAAAAGGTTTTATAATTTTTTTGTTCCTTTCCTGCTGATGCAGTCTCAGCAATTTGTCTCAGTTTGCTCATTTGCAAAGCAGTAATTCTATTTTAAATAAGAAAACCTAAGATTCTTCATAAGGATTCTTTTTCTTAAACTTACTAAAGATATGCAAATTAAAGCTAATTACCATCACTTGAAAGGAATTAAAGGTCCTATTAATCATGATCAAGAACATAATTTTCTTAAAAACTGAGAAAAACACAGCACGTTAAAACAAAGTGCTACACTGCAATTTTAAATTATTTACCATTCGAAACTGATTTCAAAGTGAATTACTAGCAACTCTCAATTCCTTAGACTGGAAAACAGAAACATAGGAAAGGGAGAAGTTGTTCAAAGCCTGTGATGCTCCATCTCTGGTTACCTACAAGACTCTGTTCTTCCAACCGGGGACTGAATTTCATTAAATACCTTGGAGTTGTGTAATATGGTAGACTTGCATTAACCACAGCCAAATTTCAAGACAACATCTAGCCAGGAAGAAGAAAACAGTGTACAAATAGGGGCTGTGTGTGTCAAAATATTCATGGAATATTTTGTACTTCTATTTCAAAAGGGCACAGTAAATATTTCAATCTTACTATTATATCCCTTGCTGACAGCATGCTCTGATCATCACCTTCCCTCACACAAAGCAGATCCACACGTTCTACTAGACACAATCCGAATTACAAGAACAAAACAAAACACCCTTATTTTGGGAAATGTACTGATTACACAATATTAGCATGAAGAATAATCACCCCATAAATTTGGCTTCTTTGCAGAGCTGCATGTAAGCAGAATTTTCACAACATTCAGGTTTTATTACATAGCTGAGGCACGGCGTACAGAGACCTGAAACAGCCATGATTGACAGGAGATGCTGCCTCTCACCATAATATTAAATAACCCATGTCACACAGCTTCTAGAGTTTATAAAATATTAATGTCCTCTATTCTTGAAACAGAACAAACAATATTCAGATAACCCTGAAAAAAAAGAGCTATTCCTATTATTTTTTGAGAGCCCATAATCGTAAGAAAAGGTTCCTTTTCTTATTTTAATAACCAACTTCATCTTTGCATCACAGATCCACTGAATACTTGAGGTTGGAGAGGACCTGCAATGATCACACAGTCCAACTGCACCAGTCGAAGCACGGTAAACTGGAATAGACTGTCCATTATCTACTAACATTATCTACTAACAGTATTTCCTAGGACACAGATAAATATTAAAAAACTTATTGTCCTTCATGTATTTGGAAATGGTTCCTGGGATTATTTGCTCCATCCTTTTCACTAAAGCAACACAGATTCTTGACCTTCTTAAAGACAAGCATGATATCTGCTCTCTTCTAGTCAAGAAGTGGCCATCTATCAAGAGCTGCCATGCAGTGAGAATGTCAAGCTCTGTCACCATTAGCAGATGCCTCCCACCAGGCCCCATGATTTCTGTATGTTCCATTTGCTTATATGTTCCCCTAAACTGGTACTTCTTAAGTCTCCCTTGCTCCAGACCCTCCCACAATTTTTATCACAGCCCTGGCACTGCTAACAGAAGGTCTTAACAGTAGAAACCAAGGAGAAGAAGATTTTGAGTTCCTCATTCTCTTCCACACCCATTCTCACCATCTCACATCACCCATTCTGTAGCAAGCCCACTTTTTCCCTATTGTCACTTTTGCTGTGGATACACTGTAGAAGCCCTTCTTGTCTTCCACACCCCTCACCTTCAGCTGGGCTTTTGTCTTCCTAAGCAAATCACTGCACACACAGCGTCCCTGTATTCCCATGGTGACCTGATCTTATTTCTACCTCTTGCATAGTTCCTTTTTTGAGTTTTACCAGGAACTTTCTCACCCATGTGGGCTTCTTGCCATCTCTGTCTGCCACCCTGTATGTGGGAATGGACCACTCTTGAGCTTGCAGCAGGTGAACCTTGGAAATCAACCAGCAGTCCTGGACCACTTCCCACATCCATCTTTCTGTACTATTGAAGGGGCAACAGAACTAATAAGCCTGGCTAAAAATGTTTTTTGTTGTAGCTGTCCTTACATATAAGGAAATGTCAACACTGACACATACCATTTATTAAGCTGAAATCTGACAGTGATGAAGGTTCAGTTTCTCCATGTGCCATTATTCTTACTCTCAGTGGTTCCAGACACACAGCTTCCCACTCTTTTCCAATGTATAAACATATTGAAATGATTCTTTATCTTTTATGTTAAATGTAAGAGTACATGTAATTTTTTCCCAAGCTGATGCATTTTGAAGATGAGACAAGAACTGTTCTGATTATTTTTAAACTACTGAGGAACCATTCACTGATCAGTCTGCCACCATGAAGCCTCAGGATTCTTCAACAGCAACTACACTTTTCATTCAGGCAGAGCATAAGATTTTATTTAGCAATGAGTTTGCCACAGTCCCTCTACAACCTTATCAGCAAATCCATTATGCTCACACAATATAATTTAATATGAGCAAAGCAGTCTTCAGAACTACACAGGTATGCACTTGTGGGGTAACAAGTCTACCAAGATGAAGTGTTCTGGCTACGCAATCTGATCTATCAGCCTGGAAAGAACTATCCTCTTCCAGAGATTTACTAGAAAAAGGGTGAAGTGTAAACAAGATTCTTAAGACCAGCTGGTGTAATGCTTACCAACACAGGTAGTCTGGAAACACAGTGCCTAGGAGTCAATGACCCTCTCTAAGACAAATCCATCCACCCACTTTTCAAACCCAACTACGTGCATGCAGGCAGTACCACACTAACTTGTGTAACACACAAACTGCAAACACTGTGGAAAGCACGTTTTCTCATTTTGCATACATTACACAAGCACAAGGAGTGACAACCTATGTCTGGGAGATTTGAGATGCCATGTTAAAAAAAAACAAAACAACACAACAAAACAGTAACTTTTCCAAATATCACTACTAGTTCAGAAAAACGGGTATTTCTTTCAGCTCAGACTTCCCTATGAAGGGCACCAATCTCTGCAGCTGCAGTTTGTCTGCCAAAGTCAGAACGTCCTCCAATCCCTTTGAGTTTGTTGGTGCAAGACAAACCTCAAGTGGGCCACTGACTTATCCAAGAGCATACAAAATCTATTAACAAGAAGAAACCGACTACCTGGTAAAAGTTCAGATTCTGTGGCCACCACCACAATGAAAAAGGCTACGGTATAAACTGTACAACTGCTCACAAACAAAGTTATCTGAGGAGAACAAAACAAAACAGCAAGACACTGAGTATCGTAATGTTGTATTTCTCTCTTGGCAATTTAATGCACTGTGCACATTGATGTCTGTTAGCACACACAGCTATTCATACTGGCAAAAGCAGCCAGAAGCTGAACATGTCAATTGCCAGCCCTTCCCTCCTAGTTGCTCATGAACTGAGGCAAAGAAATTTTAGGCAGATTTTAAAGCTCTTTCTTTTCATCAATCTTATCTTTATTTCCTTTGGAAGTAGGGATAAAATCAACTGAAAAAGCTGGACAACATTTCTGAATCAATTTCCACAAAAACTAGAAGCTTAATCAGAGAATGAAATATAAGCAGCTTCAATTGCGAATTATTGTTCTCAAGTGTCCCATTATTTCAGCTGGAATTTTTGTGAGTTAGGAGACTTGTTTATGGCACTATAATGTGGGGGGGGTGGGGGAGGAAGATGAAAGGAAAAAAAAAATCCAACCGTTTATTGTTCAGCAGCTGAACTGCAGGAATATGTGCCAACAACTAGGAAAGTGCAGGTAAGTATTGTAGCACTAAAATGCAATACATTGTGTAACTATAATGTTACAAAATCATATTGTAAATGCAGAAGTAATCCCCTTTTTCAGCACAGTGCCCCTTTAAGCATAAGCAGTTTTCAGGTATCTACGATTATATATGGAAAAGATGTTAAAAACTGAGTTATTTCCTTTGATTCCATAGTCAAAATCCATTTCAGCACAAAGAGCACGTGCCTGGCATCTTCCTCTTTGATGGTTTGATTCATGTCTGTCCGAACCCAGAGTCATTCCAAGCATCCCACCAGGCTGTGGGTCGACTTAAATGAGCTACAGAGTAACGATTTTATGACTTCTATACAACAAATGTTCCACTGGAACAGGTTGCCCAAGAAGGTTGTGGATGCTCCATCCCTGCAGGCATTCAAGGCCAGGCTGGATGGGCTCTGGGCAGCCTGGTCTGGTGGTTGGCAACCCTGCACACAGCAGGGGGTTGAAACTCAATGATCATTGTGGTCCTTTTCAACCCAGGCCATTTATATGATTCTACAGAAATCACAGTAACAACCTGCAGTCAAATATGTTGTGCTCAATGAACAGAATACATAAAACAATCTCCCTAGACTTCAAATCATAATTTAATGAAAAGCCTATTTTTGTTTTGTTTGGGGATTCATGGTTTCCCCATGCCTTAATTTTCAAAGAACATAAGTCTACCAATCGGCATGATTCCAGAGAAAATCTGCACTGCCACTGTTAGTCAAAGAGATAGGATCTTCCACAATTAGACAGCACAAGAGCCTTAGGAGGCAAAATAAATTAGCTACGTGCATTTACATGCAAGTTTTTGTAACACATTTTCATTGATGCTGCCTTAACAACATCAAAGACCCTGATGGAGCCAGGTAAAATGAAGACTAGAGAGAAAGCAAGGGGAGGGAGTAGAGGAGGTGATGCAACAAATATCCACATCTGAAGCCTTTCATAAAATAAAAGCAACTCAATTTGTTTTTTTACTGTATTTCTTTAAGCTCACGAAGAAGGCAGCTGAATTCATCACTGTGAACCACTGAAAAGCCAGTGAGCACTGCATACACCTGTATCATTATAAAAGGTGACCAAGAAAAGCTGTGAAAGAAAAGGCATCATCACTATTCCTTCCAATTGTCTGAATACTATACAAACAAAATCATCTGAATACATTTTCCCATTCTGCAAGCTGCCACCTGCAAGCTGGATTTTCTACAACGGTTTAACTGCTAACAGACACGCTGCTTCTCTTCTGTGAAATGCAGTCCAAATTATTACTTTTCCATGGACAAAGTTGATAGTTTTGCAAATTTGCCAGCTGAAAAACATATGGTATTTATTAAAGGGAGAATTTGAAAATTAAGTATTTTTAAAGCAGAGGAAAGCCCTGACACTACAAAAAAGCTTCAGGTGGATGGATTCTATAGTAAGATCAACTAAAGCAAGAATCCAAGCTGTTAGACTTCTGCCTTCTAGCTGTAAGTATCCACAAAAAACACATCTATACATAAATGCACAGGGAAAATTGAAGCTGCCCTCTGACAGTCAGAAGTTATGTGTGCTATAGCACCGGAGCAAAACTACTTGCTCTAAGAGTGAGATGCAGCGTTAGGAAGAGCAATAAGGTATCAGGACTCCAAAACTCAGCCTGCGTGGGTAAAACGAAAAATGTTCTGCAGCCAAAAAGCCAAACATCACCCTTTACTTTGCTGGAAAACGGATGTGCCGGTACGAAGCTTTATTTTTCCTTCACGCTGACACTGAACCGCGCAGCGCTCCCCCACCGCGCGCTCTCGGCGCTATCTCCAACACGAGGACGAGCGGCCCCGCGGCGCTTCCGAAGCCAACCCGTAGCGCGGGCAGCCGGGTGCCGCTCCCACGCCCGGCCCACAACAAACTTCAGGGGAAGGGGCACCTCCTCCACACGGGGCGGGACGACGGGGCAAGGAAGCCGCCGCGACTCCGCCATGCCCCCCGCGTCCGGCTCCGTCCCGCGCCCCTTTCCCGCTTCCGCGCCCCGGCTTCCCTCCCTTCGCCCCGCCGTGCCGTCCCGCCTAGGGCCCCGCACACTCACCCCGGGTGCGGAGCGGCGGGAGGAGGAAGAAGACGTGGGCGCAAGCGGCCAAAAGGAGCCAGCGGCTGCGGCCGGGATCCCGAGACATCTTGGCGAGGGCCGCCGAGCCGCTCGGGGCGGAGGGAGGAGGAGCGGGGCGCGGAGCGCCCGCTGCCCGCCTTTGCCGCAGGAGCGCGGGCGAGCGGCCTCCGGCGGGTGGCGGTACCGCCGCCAGCTCCCTCCTCCCCTCCCACCCCCACCAGGGCCCGGCAGGACCGGGCGCCAGCGCCGGGAGGAGGCGGAGGGGAGGCGGAGTGCGGCCGCGGCGCCCTCTGGCGGACTACAGCGGATCCGCCTCGCTAACGAATCGCTAACAAATCCCCGTTCTGGGTTACGGACTGAATACCCGGCACGGAAACCTAAACCCCTCCTAGTAAGTGTAGCTTCCCATAGCCATCGTCAAACGTCAAGCATCTGTTACCAAAAGCAATACATGGTGTCTTTAATTCTTAGTGCTACATTAAGAAACTGGAAAATTTCCATAGAACGTCCTCCAAAAAGGTTTGTTTGTTAAACAAAATGTATATGTTTTTTTAATTATTATTAGCTTCATCTCTCATTAACAAATCTAAATATCAATCAAACGATATTCAGCACTCATATAGGATCATGGTCCAAATTAGCAAGTTGCCCAATACATCTCTAAAGCAAACCTCATGCCATTACCAAACAGGAGCAGAGTGCTGGAACAGGCTGCCTGCAGGTGGTGGAGTCTCCTTCTCCAGAGATATTGAAAACCCGCCTGGATGCCTTCCTGTGCAACCTGCAGCAGTGAACCTGCTGGGCTGGGTGATCTCCAGAAGTCCCTTCCGACACCTACAACTGTGAATCTGTAAACCTTCAGGCAGCCATTTCATAATTACCCATGCAACAAGATGGCTCTGGCGCTGTCCTCACCAGGAACAGGCCTCCAGTCATACATCGAATATGCAAGGCCTTGGCGCTGCTGCCAGTCAGTATTGCTCCACGTGCACTTTCTCGACCTGCCTGCACCGCTATTTCATTTTGTTTCACTGAGACAGCCTTTCCTAATAGAACAAGTGCCCAAGACCAATTTTACAATTGCCTATCTTTGTTCAGCTGCAGATCAATGAAGAAAGATAAAAAATATCGAAACTTGTTCACAAACAAAAAATGACCCCCTGCGGATTGTGGAGTGAGGATAAAGAAGCCACCAGCACAAACATATTCCTGTGAAGAACTGCACAGGCTGACAGCTTGCTGGACATGCCTCCCATCAGAAAGGAACTGCCAGCCTTCAGACCCAGAGGAGCAACAGAAAGGTGAACTTAACAGTAGGAAAAGGAGTAGAGAACAAGCAGTGTTCTTTCTCCTTCTGTAACAATCAGATTTGTAATAATAATGATAAGATTATTTGCATTTCATTTATACTAAACAAGAAATGATTGGCTTCACTTACATGTAAGGCATGGTTTCTCTTTGCCTTCAAACACAATTTTGAGTGTGACACCCAGTGCCTCTAGGGAGAAATCTGAGGGGCAACCTCATGGCTCCTCAGAGGGAGCAGAGGGACAGCGCTGATCTCTGCTCTGGTGACAATGACAGGAACAAGGACACATGGAGCAGTGTCAGGAGGGGCAGCTGGGGGTCAGGGAAAAGTTTTTCACCAGAGGGTGGTGGGCATGGAACGGGCTGCCCAGGGCAGTGGGCACAGCCCCGAGCTGCCAGAGCTCGGGGAGCGCTTGAACAACATGGAAATTGGATTTGGGGTGGTTCTTTTTGGAGCCAGGAGCCAGACTCAATGATCTTCTTGGGTCCGTGCTAACTTGGGACATTCTATGATTCTAAGAAATATTTCTCATACTGGGTACTTACAGTCATGAATTCCAGTCAGGTGTGTGTATACACATTTTCCTATCAAATACAGAAGATTTCCATCTCTCACACTCCCCTCCTACCAACCCAATTATTCAGTAAATGTTGATCTCACTTGTAAACCATAAACTTTTCTATTTTCAAACCAGTAAGCCCAACAGCTAACCTGAACTTTTCCTAGAAAGTCTGTATCTTTTAGATTTACTGCATTAGTTTTCTGACAGATCAAGCATTCAATAGGGTAACTTAAGTAAACCAGAGAAGTGATTTTGAAGATGAATGGAAAACTTTTCACCGTGATAAATGTTCTCTCTCACTGCAAGTTCATCTGTGTCACTGTAACTTAGCAGAAGACATCACACTTCCCTTTATATATCAATAGAAATATAACAGGCAGACTTTCTTGGGGGAATAGACTTGCTTAATCTATTTATATATCCACCTTATATTACAGGATATTGAAGAGAAAGGGAAAACAGGACACAAGAGTGAGCAAATCCAATTCATTATTTGCCTTACAGAACAATTTCTTGTTGCTGATTGAGTGCCTGGCTTCAAGAATAATTATTCTTATGCAAAAGAAACAGACACCTTCATAGGATGTCTCACTGTCTGATTATATGCACATGCTCATTACTAGGAAAAGAACATGTTCAGTCATCCTTCCATTTCTAAATCCATAACGATATACATAAAATGTGTAAATCCTCCTGCAGATCACGTGTATCTCAGTTGACTGTTTTTCTTTATAAATTCCAGAAGTGTTTCCTGCCCATTCTCCTATTCCTTTTTCTCTGTTGGTTTTCTTTATACCAGTCACAGAAATCATGCCCGCATTTGGGTTAAACATGATACTTCCCACTTTTTGATGTTTTCCTGCTCAGCGAGACAATAACAAAAAAATCTTCTGTTCAGATGTTATCAATGTTTTGGTTTCTCACAAGTAGAAGAGAAATTTCACTAATACCTTCACTCAAAAATAGAAGTCACACATGAATTGTAATATTATCCAACTGTTAAGAAGATCACTTCAATGTTTTAAATTTTATGTTCAGGGTTGGGAGGAGGAAGAAATAAATCTTCTTCTTCAGTTCTACTGTGCATATAAACTCAGTTTATTTGTAACCACTCCACTGGGAATTTCCATCTCAGAAGGGATGAAAATAATGTACGTTCTGGTAAGGAATACAGAAGTTCAGAGCAACACTAAGCTTTCCTTCCTGATAGCATTACATATGTCAGTAAATAACTCAACTGTAACACTGATGTAACACTGATGCTGTGCCATCTTTGAGATTAACTGAGGAGAATGTAAATCTCAAAGAAATCACATCAGATACACATAAATAAAGTTAGACATATTAAAATTATTTTGTACTTTATCTTTCTTGCACATTTTTTCAGCCATTAAATTTAACTAACTGTATTTCAGAATGTCCTCAGAAGTGCTCTGTGGCTTTTTTATTCTTCCTCCAGAGTCACCACGTTGGCTACAGTCACCTGTACCCCTCAACTTTTGGAATCTCTGTTGCCTTTGGTTTTACTTCATAAGATTATTTTTTAAATTGAATAATTTAATTAGAAATTTACTTAGCTTCAGAACTATTTGAAATGTTTTTATCCCATAAGACATTGACATGATGATTCAATTATAAATTATTTTAGTCCAACATTTTTGAAGAGCTACAGTATAAACTCTTTCAGAATCTGTATCTGCTGACAAATTGCTGTCATGTTAAAACTGTGGGGAAAATGTATTATTTTGATTTCTTGAGACTGTTGGGTGATGAGAGCAAGATGATTTATGCATCTGTCTTTACATTGCACACAGTCAAGGAGAAACAAGGGTGATAATTCCATAGGCAAGTATAGAGGACTGAAGCTTTTCAGCCTTGATTATATGCCATGGGCTTACTGCCCACTCCTTTGGTCAAATGAACAGCTTGCCTAACAGAACTGTCAGACTTCATACTCTTTCCTATTTTGTCTCCTGCTGCTTCCATCTGACACAAAATTGCCTGTACCGAGCATATCTGAGCTCACTGTATTTTCCCTGCTGAAGTACAGCTATTGAAAATAGAAAACATTAGCCCTAAATTACTTGATAATCTTTTTTTTTTATTAATATACAAAAATATTACTTGCTTCAATTGAAAGAGCAAAAATATGGTTGAACATTGGGGGATTTAAGTGAGCAAAACCGCGTAGAAACAGAATGCATCCATTTATTTTGAATAGCTTAGTGGCCATATCGACTACTTGCCCTTTCTCGTATTCCTTCAGGAAAACAAAGAGTAGAATTGCTTCCTGTTTCCACTGTGCACAAAGTCGTAGTGGCAAAGGGGAAAACAAGGTGAATTGCTGAAGGAATGTTGCAGTACATAGTCAAATAATATCTTCTGATTCTGATAGCAACTTTCCTGCTATTTTGATGGGCTGTAAATAATGGTATTCATTCAAGCGTTGACTAAATTGCATTAACTACTGGGATTACTGCCTCAACATGTCATGCTCTTCACAGATGTCTTCCACATATTTTTGTATTACTTTACTACTTTTGCACTGCCAACTATGACAGTTCAGGAACAAAGTCAAGAGTTGCTATGCCATTCCAACCATGGCAGCAAAAAAAAAGAATAATAAGACTTCCTGGCAGTAGGACAGACAAGCAGGCATAGTAACATCCAGAGATGTCCAAAGAGTGTGCAATATCCAAAGTAGATTTTAGTCCAGGAAAAATCCATCCTGCAAGATGATAATGCCAGAGACTTTGGGGTTTGTCTATCTCACAATTTTCAGTGATAGTAATCCAAAGAAATGCAGCAGGAGTTTGTATTCTGCTCAGATCACCACAAGGAATGGCAGGAATATAGGAGCTAGTTTCTTTAACTGAAATAACTTTCCTATGAGCCAACTTGGATGTGCACAATAATCACGCCGCAGAACAAGCAGGGTTGGAAAAGCTTACTTGCTAGCAGGTAAGTCACTGCATTTTACATTTTGCGTAACTAGGTTAGGCATGGTTTTCTTATGGATCTTTGCAGCTACACTGTTCCATAAATACTTCATTTTTATCTTAAGAACTTGACACTAGAGATGATACTTGAGAGGAATCTCATCTCCAGTTGAGTAACTTAAGTACCAATGTCATTCTATAGGAACGGACATGCTCATAACATTCTGGCACATACAGTTTAAAACACCTGCTGAGTTTCTTGGATTGATACAGAGAACAGCGTGTAGAAGAACAATTTTTCCATGATCATTAGCAGCCAGGAATATTTTCCCATGTAGAGTATTTTCATGTAGAGTAAGATCATGTGGTGATCTTAGCAGAACACAAATTCCGGCTGCATTTCTTTGGATTACTATCATATAGAGTAAGATAACAGGAGGGAGTCCAAACCTCATAGATCTCAAAAGCGCTTTTGACAGTGACATCCTAGTGTTACATTCTGCCCTGGTATGTGAAGCTGCATCACAGAAAATGACAAAATACAGCAGTTACCTTCACACTGATAACTCTGGGCTACACAGGCAGCTGCTGGCCTTTCCAGTCACAAACAATTCCTGAGGGGGTGCACCTTCAGTTTGCTGGGTAACAGTCAAAACCCTGGAGAGAAAGCTGCCATTCAAGAGGCCTTAGACAAGCATTAAAACAGTGCCTTGTGTAGTTCAAGAAAAACAAATGCAGAATTCTGCAGCTGGGTCAGAATAACCTCATCTAATACCAGAAGGCTGGGTCTGACTGGCCACGGAGCTCAGCTGGAAGAGGCATGGGAGTCCTTGTAGACAAGATGAGCAATGCCTCCGTGTGGTAATGAAGGTTGAGTGTACAAAAGGCTCCATTGGTAAGTGGTGCAATCATCAGGTCCAAAGAAGTGATTAGTACCCCTAGTCATTATTTGGAGGCAGCATCTAGAGCATTTTGTATAATGTGGGGCCTACCAGCTTAAGACAGGATAATAAAGCAATGTAAATCCATGGATGGCTGCTGAGTTGCTTAAGGGCATGGAGTACATGGTGCATCAGGCAAGTCAGGTAACAGAGTTTGTTCAAACTACAAGGGAAAAAGAAAACTAAAGTAAGACTAATTGCTGTCTGCAATTACCTAGTTGGAAATCTAGAGATTTTGCTCAAAAAGTGCACAAGAGAATAGGAGGTCACAGGTTGTGGCAAGGAAAATTCCACACCACAGCTAGACCAGGTTGCCCAGGGCCTGATTCAGTCTCACCTTGAAAGTCTCCAGGGCAATTCTAAGTTTGCTAGCCATGACTTACATCCTGATGGCTTACATCACCTGATAATCATCCCTTGACATAAGTAAACCATCTTCTTTGCTACAGAAATAGTTTTAATAACCTGGAAAGGTCTTCTGCATCTTGATATTTGCTTAAGGTGAGCACCTGTGTAACCCTACTGACATAGGTAAAGGGAAACAAGGCCTGAGATAGTTACTCAGATAAGGGACTTATTGAGCAAAACTTACAGTAGGAACCAGAGCACTCCTTCCAGGAATTTTCAGTTATGAAATGGCCCTTAGGAGCCGTAACAGTTTAGTGTCACTTCAGAGCAACTACAGTTACTGCAGACCAGCTTAGCCTCAAGCTGTTTTAGATTATGTCCATGAGCAACCGCTCACTTAGACCTACATCATTCTGCTTTTGATTGAGAAAACCAGGTGGAACTGAAGCACAAAAAACACAGAACGTCACTTGCAGGGTCACTTATGCACAACACCATCAAATAAACAACAAAGATGAGATAAAGTCAAAGGATGTTTAGAATACTGAGGCCAACACCATAAAAAAAATCCTACTGAAATAAAATACACAGTCCTAAATTTAAAAAAAAAAAAAGCTCAATTAAGACTCTGGAAAAAAAAAAAAATTGTTTTGTGGACATTGCCAGTATGCAATGCTGCTTAACTGTAGTAAGAAGACTTAACATAAATCACTATTTACAAAAAATACAAAAGAAAGATCACAATTTCTGAGACAATTCTTATGACATGTACAGTCAAACCCAGTAACTAGAGTACAGAAAACAAGTGATTTGTTGAATTTTACCTAAAAAGCCACAAAGACTTGGTGTGTTGGGTCTGGCCAGGATGGAGTTAACTTTCTTCATAGGAGCCCATCTGCTGCCATCCTTCCACCCAGCACATCCCAACACTGAGCAAGAAGTTGGGAGGGAGCACAGCTGCAAACCCTGACCTGAACTGGCCAAGGAGATATTTCATACCATGTAACCTCATTCTCCACAAAAAAAACTGGGTTGGAGGAAGAAAAGGAGGAGGTGGTTCTGATTTCCATTGTGGCCACTGCTTGGAGACTGACTGGACATTGCTCTACTATTAGACATTCTGAAACAACTGCAAAACTTAGTTCTGTACTTTTGTTTCAAATACAGCCATGAACTGAAGAAAAGAAAAAAAAAAGATTAATCCAAATGTTGTATTCCTTTTTATTTGTTTATTCTGTCCCACACTAGTTAAAACCATATGGCCAGTCAGTTTTCAAAAGGCATTATCTGTCTATTGGCAAAATTAAACTAATAAAAAATGCTTGTAGTTATCTACAATTTGAATATTTTGTTCTGTACAATACATTTAACCCAAGGAAAAAAAAAACAGATACTGCAGCTAGAAGAGGTACTTGTATACCTTATACCAGTAATACATTAAATTTGAATGTGGTGTACATATCTCCCAATCTGTAATAAATTTTGTAACATGAAGATTAAAATCCAATTAGATAGACTAAATTGTGTCCTAAAAAGTAAACTACTTAGAGGAGATTTTTCATTCACAGAAGTATATAGCAGTATCCATGTTAGCTATGTCACCAATGAAAAACATTTCTTAACTCAGAAATCATTTCAAACTGAAGTAAATGAGAATAAACTACACTGGTCTAAAACGTGCTTTTTACATTAGTGGACAACTTCATTACAAATGGCTGGGACACAAACACACAAAAGCAGATTGGATGCAAAGCACATTTTCCCATTTGCTGTAGAAAGATTCACAGAGAATCTGTAGATTAGCACTCGAAACAAAGAGTTCCTTAAACTAAGCAACATCAGTTCTTGGTCAGAAATCTACTGCTATTTAGAGCAAGACAATTACTAACAAAAATAAATAAATGAAGGAAAAGAAACATAGCTATTACTTCTGGATTTTTTGTTTGTTTGTTTGTTTTTCCACTTGCCTTAGATAGTTACACTACATGGAGAAAAGAAGCTTAGCCAACATAGCAAAATTTAAGATAGAAGGTATTTGAATTGTTTAGTGAGGCTATAGTGCCCCCCAATGTCCACAAGCTATAGACAAGGTTGTTTACTGATTTGAGAGAAAGGGAAAACCAAACAAAACTACGAAATGCTTACTAATAATCATTCCTGTACATCATGCCTGACTTAGAAGTAAGATTGGTAAGCGTGGTAAATTTCAGAAAGGGCCAAATATTTCATATTTTTTTTGTCCCAGCTAGAATTCTCTGTAAAATGATACTAGCATAGCTCAGGTAGTCAGACAAGCTGTCAAAACCCATTTACCAGCATTGCCTATGTTCACTGTTGCTTTAGTTTCATCACCTTTTGAGCTCATAGAATTTGAATCTCTCAGCATGTTCCAAACACTATAGGCACTTTAATGTGACACTATGAAAATCAGATCTCTTGCATGACAATCCATATTTCATCCACTGAATCATGAATCCAACCCATGCTCAAAGGATTATTTATTTATTTTAAGGAAGACAGCCATCCATAACTATAAAGATTCAGATGAGTTTATTGTTTTGGAAAAGTCCACCAGGAGATCAACGAGAGTTAAACGCATTCATCTCACTTGCATTTTGAATTTTGCTCTATCTTCATAACTATCTTCATAAAAATCACCTGTAAAAGTAAATACAAGAAACTGCATATAACAAATCATATTTACACAAGCATCCAGATCATATGAAATAGTCTTGTTCTAAGATCTGTATTTCTAATATGATGATCTGATGAAGTTTTTCAAATAGAATCACAGAATCATAGAATTGCTCAGGTTGGAAAAGACCTTAAAGATCATCAAGTCCAACCACAACCTAACCACCCTACCCTAACTCTAACAACCCTCTGCTAAATCATGTCCCTGAGCACCACATCCAAACGGTTTTTAAACACACCCAGGGATGGTGACTCAACCACCTCCCTGGGCAGCCTATGCCAGTGCTTCACAATCCCTTCCATAAAGAATTGTTTCCTGATGTCCAACCTAAACTTAACCTTGGTGCAATTTGAGGTCATTTCCCCTCATCCTGTCACCCATCACCAGTGAGAGGAGACCAACTCCAATATTACTTCATTCATGCTTACTAGTCGTTCTGACAGCTAAGGATTTATTACTTTGTCTTTACCACAGATTCATAACTGAATCTTCTGTTCACTTAACATATAAAGAAGCTCCTTGATAGCCTCTTGATGTCCAGAATATACTCAATATTTCTTAGTCAAGCATATTCTGTTAAAAATAAATAAATCGTTTTCATAAGTCCTGGATGTACCACCTTCGAGATTGTTCTGATGGAGGAAGAAAGCAATCAGAGCTGTTAGAGTACTTATTCAGTGTGCTGATTTTTAACTTTCAATACATAATACTCAGTGGATTTTTTAAATAAGGACAATTTGAAGTTTTAAATTCAATGAATCACATAATGGCTCGGGTTGGAAGGGACCTCAAGGATCATGAAGCTCCAACCCCCCTGCCACATGCAGGGCCACCAACCTCCACATTTAACACTAGACCAGGCTGCCCAGGGCCCCATCCAACCTGGCCTTGAACACCTCCAGGGACGGGGCATCCACAACCTCTCTGGGCAGCCTGTTCCAGCACCTCACCACTCTCTCTGTAAAGAGCTTCTCCTGGTATCCAAACTAAATCTTCCCTCCCGTCAGCTTAAAACTATTTCCCCTTGTCCTGCTGTTATCTACCCTATCAAAGAGTTGATTCTTGAAACATACTAACAGTTTTCTGTGATAGAATGCTTAAGATAGAATAAATTAGCCATTATGAATATGACTAAGTATATATTCTAAGTATAGCCATAGACATGCTACAAATGCTGGAAGAAAACCTTCCAGTAGCCCATTTCTTCATGACAAATGTTTGCTTCGTTACAATGACAGCAAAGAAATAGCCTATCTAATAGTGTATTCTTAGGAAAAAAATATATTAAAATGTTGGACTTGTCTAAGTGTAGACACACACAGTACTATGCCCACACACTTTGAAAGATTATTACACAGAAAGATTAACTACAGATGCAATAAAGACATGTTTTTTCCAAGCATGCTTACTGTAAACTGTAGTGTAGTTGTACCTTGTTATCTACCCTTCTGCACCACTTAGTCAATACATGTTCAGTAAGCTCTTAAAAAAAAAAAAAAAAAAAAAACAGAAAAATTAACTACTTATACTAACTTTGTACTGTTAGTATAAAGAATACTGATATTTGTCCGTTTTCTTGTTTTTGTTCACATAAAAATCAAAATTTGGACTGTCTTTGAAGTGGTTGGGGTATTTTCTAATGAAAAAACAAAGTTTGGATTAATGTCAGAAATTCTTAGCAAGTACATGTCATACTAATATTGCAAGTGTTATTTTTAAAACCTTCTACCACAGCCAAAAGCACAAGAAATCTGCATAATCCCTGCACAGCTCATTAGCACTGAGTCATACAAAGGATACATAATGATTTGGCAGCATATTGCCAGATGGTTTGCAATCAGATCAAGTAGTAATAGTTTGCTATCAGATCAAGTAAGTAACTTGGCTTCTTTTTCTTCATTAACATCCCTCCCAAATTGTCATTATATCACTTTCATTTCTATTTTTTGAAATAACATTCAGTTCCTGAGTGGTTGACAGAAACTTTGGTGTTTCCAATCCACACTGACTCTTGGCTTTGCGATCTTTTTTACATTTCCAAAAGCATTTATTAATTGCATTTAGACACAAGAGAGCTTATGCAATCAATTCCTGTATTTACATAAAAACTGTTCAACACTTCACTCCTTCCCATTAATGATGTGCAGCTGGTCACTACATGAAATTTGTTTTGCACCATAATCTGATCATCTTCTCTCTCACTCAAAACACTTATTGTGTCCGAGCAACAGGAAAACAAAAGATTATGAGGGCAACGCAAACAGACAATCACTCAAGTTAATGTATTTGAGATTCATGAATACTTAAGGCTTATTATTATTTGAATGCTTTTGAACCCAATTGTATAGCTTCAAGCATTCACTTACCACACTGTAGTAAGTTTGAAGTACAAAGCAAATAGTTTCATTGTTCTTTTTCCTGAAGTTTCCACGTTTTCCATTGTGAAAATCCAGTTGAATAAGTGAAAATATCTACAAAAACATCTATATATTTAAATAAGACTGAAAAGTTTACAATAACCTTGGTACTATAACTTTTAATTTACCTTCTCCTTCATTGCATTCTTTAGGTTCACTGTTTTAAAATCCAAAGAGACATTAATGGTAGTTTCCCAGCAATCAAATGAAACATTTACAATCACTTCAGTTTTAAGGCATTCACATTGATCTCAGAAGAAAGGCCTGCTCCATTTTAACCCAAGTTTTACTGAGGGGAAAAAGAAAAGATCACAGAAAGCCATGTATTCTGACTATAAAGCTGTTCTTGTGTTAAAACCTCACTCAGAGCATCAGGAAGATAAAGCATCACCCCCTTGGTTACACCGGGATTTGGATCCATGCTACGCTGAGTGTTCAAGTACGCTGAAACGTGGGCAGAGCCATGGAGTCACATGAGTTTCCAGTGAAGTTTATTTACCTTACTCCAGAAGCTGCACATTTTGTTTGAATTGGATATTCCCCACACTAGGGATGCTCTGAGGAATGCAGCTCAGCTGTCAGCCTTGAGAAGGTAGTACCCATTGGTGGCTGTGCCTTAAGCTGATTGCACTGTCACCTCGGTGACATATCTGCTTCATTCTTTCCTTCTCCAGCATAAGTATGCGGATCAAAGCATTAACAAAGGTAATGCTACCAAACATCATCATGAATACTTCACATACAGAAGAGGCAAAAGGCCAAATGAAAACACTTAGCTATTTATAAGCATAATATGTTACTTATTGCTTCATATAGTTGAATTAATGTTTGGCATTTCCTAGTACAGAGTATATGATATAATAATATACATATATATTTCATGTTATAATGTAATATTGATATGAAAATATATGTGCTTGCAAATCCCCACAGCATTTTACTTATTACTTTCAACTGTTCCACTCAAGTTGCAAAGTGTTTATGTACATGAAAGTGAATATCAAACACCATTAACACAGTGACATGAAAATAAATGTTAAAAAGAGCTGCAGCACAGCATTGTACAGGAAGGGAAACTACTGGATCTATGTCATATTTCTGGAGAACCATGACCCTAGAGGAATACCAGCCTGTCTCTGGCAGAAGTAATGATCTCAAGTGACCTTTACCCTTTTAAAACTCAGTTTTGGTCCCAAGAGGAAAAGAACCCTCATCTCATCAGGTTTGCATTAAAGGCCTACTCTGAAGGACAGAGATTGAGATGGTGCAGAAGCTCAGACTGACCAGCAAGTCCATTGAGTACTATCATAGGAGCCAACTGCTTGCAGATACAGCCGTGGTAAAGCTGGGGCAGGCAGCCTCCAAATAGATTAGAATGAAATAGCATGGGCTGGAGGCAAGCTCAGCCCACAGATGGGAAGTGAAACAAACAAGAAATCCCTATAGAAATGATACAGATATACCTATTTACTTCTAGTGGAAAGTATAGATGTTGCCTGCCTGTGCTGGGATGGCCTTTCCTGTCTTCTGTTTTATTTAAGACATGAAGATTATGTACGGAACAGTACTGGGACAGTAAAGGCATTGCTCTTTGTACACCTCAGTTTTTTGGGCCCTTGGAAACACAGCAGAAATCCTAGGAACTCAACAGATTCCTGCGTTATGTTCTGCGGCACTTTGGCCATCCTCAGGGTCATTAGCTAGTCTTCTTTGAGTAATGCTTTATAATGGAAATATTCCTTGTATATACAGTAACGTCATTCTAACCACATCACAAGAAAGTTTACCAACATTAGGTCTCGTGTAACAGATGAAATCACCTTGTTCCCAAATCAGATTCTGTTTCTTAACACACATCAGTGCCTTTAGTTCTGGTAGATGCCACAATACAGAACATCCAACAAGGAATACGAAAATAATTCTTTAAAGGCCTGATCAACTACTATTTTAAAACATTGTCTGCGCTGCTGATGAAGACCAGATTGTTTTTTTCCAAGTTAGAGTGTGAACATGTTTAAAGAAACCCTTAACTGCCACAGCCACAAGAGCACCTACACAACTGAGGAGCAAAGGAAAATCCACAATACATACCACACTCACCAAGCCACTCACCTCACTTACCATAAGCCAAGCATCTACGTAGGTAAAACGAATGTTGATCAGCCTACCAAAATATTCTGTCTGTGCAAGGCATCCTTAAAAAGATGAAAACATTGGTCAGCAACTTCCATAGTCTGCTAGCGAGCTGCAAAAGCTAGCACACTGCAAAAGCACAAGGGTTGACATACAGACAGAGTATCCATGTGTATGAGTCCGAGGTCTCACTGAACAATACGAATATGAACAGCAGGAGCTTTCTCTTCCAGCAGCATTATGATGCCAGTTTGCTTTGGAGGTACAACAGGGGACAACAGTAAAGCATGTTCCTCATCCAGCCCACAGCCATTTAGCAAGTGCTGATCTAACAAAGAGAAGGCATAGCATTGGTTATTCTCAGTTCCTAAACTCACAAGCATTGCAACAAAAGTAAGCCCCAAAGAAAATTAACTACAGCATTATCCTCCCCTACCCCAGGGCAGTTAAAGTGTCCTTACATAACCCATACTATCTCTAGGTAGGAAGGAGAGACAATCACATAAGAAAAAAAAAGAACTAAGGTTTTGGTCACCTCTTACATCCCCCCCTACTTTCCCAGCACCACTCACCCTTCTATAGCAGCACAGATACCAAGACTCTGTCAATACACACTTCTGCTCCAGGCCAAGAAAAACTTCATTCTTTTACTGGCATCCCAACACACTGAAGCCGAAGCTCGCTTACTGCACCACACAGCACTGCGCTAAGCCATCGGATAGATAGATGGTGCCAGCAGAGCAACTTCCAAATTCACTGTTGAGCTTAACATTTTTCTCCCTTTAGAGACCAGCTGCAAATCTGGGCAAACAGTCAAGATTTCCGTATTTCTCTTCAAGGATAAACAATTTACAGCAAAGGATGAAAAAGCAAAAGGAATGTTTGGTATCTACTTTTTTCATCTATGGCGACGCTTAAACTAGTGGTTATGCTGTATGTTTATCATTCACCACAGCAGGATTTTCAAAACAATCACTCAAAATACTAGCACACAGCTTCTTGCCAGATAGGGCTGTGGCTGATGTACAGATGAATTATTAATAACATGACTGGATTTTCACCCAGCCCTAAAGAAGTACAATCCAGGATTCAAGAACATACAAATTCAAGGAATTAGTACATTTGTGAGGAAGACAGAAGTGTTTTCAGCATTTCCATGCCATCCAATAAAAAGTAGGTTATTTAAGCAAATGAAATACTTTGAAGAAATCTACCTTCTTGCTGAAAATAGCAAGTGCAGCAGCATCAGGAACAGGCACTCGGGGTTTGGCCATCCTGTCAGCTTATTCTGAAGTTAGAAATCACAGCCTCAGCTAACAGCCACAAAACAGCCCGAGGGGATTTTCAGCTCTCTACCTCCTCTGACAGAAGCATTATTTTTAGCGGACTAAAAAAAACTCCTCGCAAATAATACACTCAAGAAAGGCTGAGGCCTGACAGAAAACTGAGCGCTACTCCGTTAGGAAGCAAATCTTTAGCAGAGACAGGTTGCTACAGCACAGCAGAAAGGAAGCAGGGTCAAAACATCTCCTTCTCTAGAGATGCTCAAGACCTGCCTGGATGCCCACCTGTGCGACCTGCTGTAGGGAACCTGTTTTGGCAGAGGAGTTGGACTCAATGATCTCTGGAGGTCCCTTCCAACCCCTACGATTCTGTGATTCTGTGAAAATACTGCTTTCCCCTCCGACAGAGGAGGACTGAGAACCCTGAATGCACCCACTTCTCCCTTTGGCACAGGGAGGTAAGGGAGGCACGCTGACAGCACACATCTCACCTGCATACCTACTGTGTTTCCACGGGCAATGCTGGAGGCTGGGACCCGCCCAGAACACACAGCCCAAGCTTGGCACATAGCAGACCTTCATCTGCAGCGGGACGTGGCACTAGACAGATAAAACCCTCTTTTAAAAGGGCAAGCAATGCAGCACACACACACCTAACGTGCTCTACCACTTTCGACTATTCCTGAGAGTTTTCTAACAGCAAGGAGGGGAAACACCTATCATTAGGCATCCCCAGCTGTACAAAAATAAGCTTCCCAGTGAGCTACAACAAGGACTTTGTTTCAGCCAACCTCTTTTCTTCCCCTCTCCCACACATACAGGCTCAGCAAGGTACAGACCCCTCCGAGAGCCGAGCGCAGGAACGCACCCAGTGATGCCCTTAAAACCCCAGCGGGCCACCGTTATGGGAACGAGGGGCAGCCCTCCCCCCGCCAGTCCGAGCCAGCCCAATGCTCGCGCCCCCCACAGCACAACAGCGCCTCAGAACCCACGCGAGCACCAACAAACGCTCTCCTCTCACGCACCCAACCACCGCGCCCAACAGCCGAGAAACGCGCCCAGCCCGCGCTCCCTATCCCCCGCCTCTCACATCTGGCCACGCCCCTTCTGTGTGGCCACGCCCCTTTCCCGCCTCCTCCCCTCGTTCTCCTTTCTGAGTTGGTGGCGTCGGCAGTCGCTATGAGAACAGATGACGTCACGGGGCCCCGGCGCCGCTGATTGGTCGGAATTGTTCGAGAACGCCGCCGAAGGCGGAAGCGGAAGCCGCACGTGGAGCCGGTGAGTGGTTGCCGCAGTTTCTGGAAACTTCGCCTCATTGTCATATTTAAAGCGGCGGCGCCGGCTGCCCGCCTCTGCGCGCCCATCCGCCGGCAGCGGGACCGGGGCGGTGGTGCCGGCAGTGGGTCGGGTGGGGGGGGCCTGTTCGCGGCGGTGGGGCGGCCATGGCCGTGGTGGGCTTTGATCTGGGCTTCCAGAGCTGCTACATTGCAGTGGCGCGGGCTGGCGGCATCGAGACGGTGGCCAACGAGTTCAGCGACCGCTGCACGCCGTGAGTGAGGGGACCGGGGCGGGAGCTCCAGGCGGGCCGCCGCCTTTCCTTGGTTCGGGGTGCGCGGCCGTTCAAATTACTTAGCTTGCTTTAATAAAGGTAGCTCGGAAGCGGGGCGGTTTGGATGGAAACCGGGCGTCTGCCGCTCGGAGTTCGGGGCCGGGAGCGGCGGTGCCAGCGGGACGGCCACGCTGTGCGGAGGGTAACGGGGCTGGAGGGGGGGAATGGTGGAGCTCCGCCACTGCTGGAATGTGGGCAGTCTGCCGTCAACGCCACGCTCAGCAGTCCCTTGTGCTTTGCAGGTCGGTGGTCTCGTTCGGCTCCAAAAACAGAGCTATCGGCGTCTCAGCCAAAAACCAGGTGGGTTCCTTATAGGTGGCTGTGATTGGGAGGCTGACGGCCCGGCGGCTCAGGTGCCGGGGGTGCGTGGAGAGCTGCTGGGCTGGAGTTGGAACGGGTAACTGTCGTTGGTACACCTGTCGGAGGATCCCTACGGGTCCTTTTGAACTCGGGGTGTTGTACGGCAGAAAAATGATGTGCTGTAGTGCTGCGCTTCTTTCGGAGGAACGTAGGTGGTTCTGCTGGAACTTCTCTGCTCGCTGTTTCTTTAATGGTAATATTTTCCAGTAGAACACGCTCCTTTCCTGATGGCCTAAGCATCGGGTTTGTGTTCTTGGTGCTTCTCTATAGCTTTCTCCTGCGTCTGAAGGAAAATGTTTGAATGCTGTGTAGAGGTGCTTAAAATTAGATGGGAAAGAGAAATGTTAGTTGAGGTTTCCTAAAGCGGTTTGTAGCTACCTCACTGCCTTTGCTTTTGCTGGAAGATAAATGCCTGTGTATTTTTCAAAAGCTTAATATTTATAGTATAAATAACTTGGTTTTATTGCTTGAGCAGTTTGATAGGTACATAAAGAAACATTGAGTGTTTTCTTCACTGAAGTAGTATTTTCATGCGCAAGAATTAAGCTCTCCTCTTAGCATTTCAGAATAGCTAAATATAGATGTTAAACAAATCCTCAGGTATTGTCAAGCCTTGTATCTGTTGCATAACCACAGCTGGTAAGGGACTGAGGAGCCTGCAGCTCTGCTGGGCTGTGCAGATCTGTGGTGAAAGGACTGCAGTGTGTTTCCATGGAGAGAGCATTGGAAGAGGCTTCCTTCTCTGTAACAGTTCCCTTAGTTTTGGAAGCTGAGGGAATATGAATAGCTTACACATTCACAAACACATGTACTCCTTCGGCTCAAGGTTAATATTTGAAGTAGTACAGTCATTACATGCATTTGTGTTCCTTCTTTAGAGAAACTTCATTTTAGCATCTCTTTTGTTTTCTTACTATGTGCTTTCACTCAGAAACTAACAACATTCACTTGTGTACAAAAATGAGTCATTTATCAAAATAGAAGTTATCTAAATCCTACGTGGAAGCTCTTGAGAGTATCTTAGTATTGTTTGCTGATGAAATGCTAGAACTTGAAGCACGCTGAAAGGGAAAAAGATTGTGACGTATGAAATTGTGTTTAAAGGACTGTGTTTGGGATGAATGCCAGTGAGTTCAGATGACTTGAGGCAACCATTAGGTTATGTGGATATATTACATCTTCTGTGCTTGGTTGTCTACCAGTTGAAACTGAATGGTTTTTGCAAGAAAAGAAAAGCATGTGGTAAATTAAATGCTAAAAGATGCAGAGCATTTGTTCCTCTTGCTGAGGCAGTTGATTTTGGCTGACTGCCCGTCAGGCACATTGTTTCTTTCTTGGATGTGGAAGTTCCTTCACGTGGAAAAACTTGAGTTATGTTTTCTGTGCCTTAGAGTGTAGCAGATGCTTAAATGAAGGAGTACAACCATCCGTTTCATTTGAAGTTACTTATTAAGAACTTTTTTATAAAGTGAAAAACTCACCAGTCAACAATGTGACTGCATGCAGGAGCTTATGATCGTACTCAGGGTCGATGTCCTTTGAGACCTGGAGAGCTGCTGCTGGAGTATATCTTCAGAGAGTTTATTTCCTTAGGTAACCCTGGTAGCCTGGAGATGAGAGCAGTTTATTAGTTAACAGACCATAATTCTCTGCTTCCTTAATTGTGACTAAGCAGGAAGATATTGAAATGTGCTGCAGATCTAATGGCATACAATTACTCTAAAAATATCTGAAGATTGTTCCTTGGAAGAGACTGTGAGTGTTATTCTAAATTAGGCCGTAAAAGCCACCAGAGTGTTTGTGCTTCTCTGCCAGCTACGTAAAAATTATTTTTGCTTCCATGTTGTTCCTCAGTATGTTCATCATTTGACTTAATACCATTTAATCTGTTGGTGCCTGCCTAAAGTTACTTCCACAGCTTCTCTCCAACAGATAGGTTTCATTCTAGTTTGAGATACTTGTTGTATCTCTTTTAGGATAGCCTGTCTGCTTTCTGTTCTGCATTGCAGTCCTAATAAAGAATGTTTCTCTTTGATCAATTGGTTCTGTGGGGTTCTTGTGCTGCAGTTCAGTATATGCTTCAAGCTAACTGGTACCAAAGTAATGTCATGCTTCTCTCTGCTGTTTGTGCCTTTTGGTCTGGTGCAAAGAACTGGAGTGACTGCTAGGTGAGCACAAGGAGGCAGCTCACCCTCTTTAAGAGTAGCTCAGGGAAAAAGTATTGAAATGAATGGGAAGTCTAATGCCAATAACTAAAGATTCAGGTGTGTGTGTGTGCTCATTGTAGTGGTGCTTCAAGTGAGCCCTTGGGGGTGATGAGGTTACTGGTGAATTGAGTGCTAGTTACAGGCCTGGCAAACACCTGAAAAAGAGGCTTTTAATTAGTTGAATCACATCTAGATTAGATGAGTAAAGTAGTAGGACTGTAAATCATATTATGGCAGGACGAGGGCAAATGGTTTGAAGTTGAGGGAGGGAAGATTTAGGTTGGATACCAGGAGAAGCTCTTTACAGAGAGAGTGGTGAGGTGCTGGAACAGGCTGCCCAGAGAGGTTGTGGATGCCCCGTGCCTGGAGGTGTTCAAGGCCAGGTTGGATGGGGCCCTGGGCAGCCTGGTCTAGCATTAAATGTGGAGGTTGGTGGCCCGGCATGTGGCAGGGGGGTTGGAGCTTCATGATCCTTGAGGTCCCTTCCAACCCAGGCCATTCTGTGATATTACTCACCTGATTGCTTGGAGGTTTTAGAGATGCTCATATAGTGCTGCCTGTACTTAATGTATATTCTTCTGTGACATGTAGCTCTTTTACCTGATTTTTTTTTTGTAGTGATGAGCTGTTATAAAATACCAGATAGTAATTACAGGTATTATAGTAACAGATGTGACAAGTAAATGAACAGTTTTATTGAAGAGTGACTGGTGCTTGGGGCATACAGGGCAA